CACTTCTGCTCAAGAGCTCTATCTAAGTCATATTTTGTAACCTGCCTGAAATTCCCCGATCATTCTAGCAGCCATAGGATACATTCCAAATGCCTTTATGTAGCCCATAAATTCCTACATTATCCAGTCCCTATTTATCTCACCAGCTCTGTTTTTTTCTATTTCCCATCATGCACACTATGGTCTTAATATGCTTAATATCTAGCTCTTGTTATGATTAGTACTATATCCTAGTGTGCATGTATTCTGTTCCATTTTCCTCCTCATCCTTTGTATAGTAATGATAGTAATCTATTCATATGTATTAAATACTTAATAATCACATGGAACAGTTATAATATGCTAGCTATTATTCTATACATTTTAAGTTGTATTATATCTAATTTTCACAACACCTTTGGTTCCCAAAAGTGCAGATCTCCTGAGCCTATATTACATCTGAATTTAAAGAATATGCAGTCCAGTCTTTCAGCTGGACCTTGAATACTTTATATAATTTAAAATGGTCTACATAGGGAGTAAAAAAAAAAAAAACTCTCATTCTCTTTATACTCTGAAAAAGTAACATATATTTTCCTTTTACCCAACCTCATCTCTCCCTTCAAAATGTTCAACAAGTATATTCAAACCAAATAAATACTGTACCTTTTTAAAGACAAAGATGGGTAGTTTCAAAACACAAGATTTAGCCATGTATATAATTGACTTTTTCTGACATAATTAACCCCACATAATATTCCAAAGCTTAATATAACAATAGTAATGATCACTAATAAATAAGCAATATACAAATGTAAATGTGTGCTTGAGTCAATCTAACATTATTTATTCCAGTAAAACTTACAAAGTCAGTGTCTAATAACAAGGATGATTTAATTCCTTTTTAAAAAAGAAAAACTGCCACTAATTATGGTACATTTAGATAAATGCTGACATCTTAATCTAGAAAGAATTCTCCATATTTGTTTCTACAAATATAGGATGTTGCATTATCTCTGTATTGTATTTTTCACATATTTATTTAAAATTAGCCAGTCATGAAGCAAGTTTCTTTTCCTTGTCTCCACATTTCTAAGAAGTGTAGTGAGCCTTCATGTCCTATTGCCAGGGTTTTATTTAAAAAGTCTTTACCAAAATACATTTCTTTCAAAAATATATATGTATTGTATATATGTATATTTTATGCATACATACATATATACATACCATTAAATGTGCTTCCTTCTAATTCTACATTATAAAATGCTTCATTTGGGTTAAGTTTGCTAGGCAAAAGAATAACAAGATTCTTAGAAGAATAAAGATTCTTAACCTCTTTTTAAAATATCTCTAAAAGCTATTTGAAGTCAGCATTAACCTGAAAGAAACGTTATTTCTAAAGTAGTGTCATGATGAACCATACTTAAACCTTCTGAAACATTTGCTTTCGTATACAAGGATTAGAAGAAATGTGCTTGGCTGTCTATTTCTATCTGTGTGCCATCATCTGACTTTCTATATAAAGCCACTCCTGCCATTAGCCTGGGGTGCTCTTACATCCACGGAGCTCACTCCGTCACAGCATGGCCTTTAAGTCTCAGGGCTTCATCACTTTCAATATTATTCTCTACTCCAACTCCCTATGGTCATATACTGAGTCTTGTCATCATCCTGAGTCATTCTGTTACAAAGTACTGATATAGGTATATCATTCCTCTGTGGCTGGAGTCTTCTCCTTTCAACATGTTTTATGGACTTCTTCCACTGTCATCTTTATAAACTTCTGTTCCTGCACGCTGCGCTAGCCCTTTTCTGTCCTCTCCTCTTTCCCTTTTCAGCTTAGATTCCATGTCCATAATTTCAACACAACCAAATATTCTTAAATTTTTTTACTTCTCTTTCCTTTGCTCATATCCATGTGTCATAAACGCAGCCACCATTGAATTGTCATTCTCCCTGTCTATATTTGGGCACCTTTGTGCTTCTGGAGAAAATTACAGCAAGGAAACTTGCACCAGCTTCATTTAGGATTTCAGCACTGCCCAGTAATCTTGATATGTTTCTCTCAACAGTTCTACTCTCTGCAACTTCTGTTAGAGTCCTCCACTCTGCTTAAACCTGCATCTTCTGCAAATGAGCTCGCATTCTACCTCAGAAAGAGAGAATAAAGAAAACAACTGAGTACTCTGACTTATTACTGTCTAATGCACACTAATACTTGCCCTAATCCTGTTTTGTTGTGTTTTATTATTACAGGAAACTAGGCTTCCGTCTTCTTACTTAAGGCCGTCCCTTCCCATTTTCTCAGTTATGTTGAGCCTATTACTACTTCCTCTTAGATCTTCAAATTCTGTTCTGTGTATGGCCATCACCATTCAAACATTCTCAAGTTTACACCATTAAAAAAATCCTTTCTTCATTCTACTTTTCCACTCCAGTTATTACTCATTCACTCCTCAACCTGGTGCTAATTGATTTAAAAATATTTCTGAGTTATCAACTTGAACCTTCAAAAGCGAGAGGCAATTATATTCCACATATAAAGCTCATTTCGTGAATTATTTCATGTGAAATATGAATTATTTTACATCCACAGTCGACTTGTTTATAAACAGGTGAAAGCCCATTCATTTAATAGGTGATCTAGAAAGAGAAAGTAAGACAACTGACGTTTAAGGTGCCTGTTCTGAAATATAAGACATGTGTTAGCTGGTAATGTCTTCTTGTTGTGCGGATGTTCCCAAGGAAAACATTATGCCAATAATTAAATTAGAACTTATTCATTAGATGGTAACTTAACTGTCTCTTTTCTATGTCAATTAAAATTTATTTGCCTATTACTTACAGTGGTCTTTAACTAAAGAACATTTATTCTTGACAGAATCTCTCTTGCTATTATCATAATCTGGAGTGGAGAGGAAAAGAATAATGAGGTTATATGTAACTGCAAATAACTGCTTATAGGAAAGAATGTATTAATTTTTATAGTATAAATTAAACACTTTATCTTTGCATATATATCTTTGATACAAATTTATTACCACAAAAATATCTGAGTTACTTATGACTATAGCTTTCTGGTTTTTGCAGAAGATATATTTTAGAAAGTCATGAGCTGAAATACTTAATATTCTAAAGTGAGATACCTGTTCAAAGTGACTCTTAAATTAATTGACCATGTAGGAGATGAAAGTTTATAAAAAGTACAAGAAAACAGATAACTTACACAAATTGATAAGAAATATAGTAGAACTTAAAGCAATACTTTTTTATTTGTGTTTATCATTTGTTTTCATAATTTCTCATGTTTTGTATTTAAGGTATTTTTTATTGGTGCAAATTTTATATTTTCAAAAATGATAAATGAAGATGTGAGGAATATTAATATTCTACTTTATGCAGATTTAACCTGTTTGTTTTAGTGGAGAGCAATTTCTAGGTAACTGGTAGGCTATGGAAGATAATTTTGTCCATGGTAATAAATGGCCCAAATTTTGGGGCCAATTTTTGTATAAAGCTCAGAAATTGCCTTGTTTTCAAAGCTCATGAAAAAGTTCACAGGCATGTTGACAGGAAAATCACCTTAATCACTTAGAAGCTATCTCTTTTTTGTTTTAATTTTCTTTGTTGTATGTATGATGTAAAAAGTATGACTTAACTTGCTTAGGACATTGTGGTGCCAACTTGTTTGGACAATTATTTTTGTTTCTTTGAAAATTTAAAGATGCCCCAGCTATTCTGTTACTAAGGTCAAAGAATATACATTTCTTGTGATGCCCATTTAATAAAGTAATACATGGTTTCTCTGAATGAATGCGTTTAGAGAGGCACGTGCAGGGTGTTCCATTGCCACGACAAGTTTTTTCTTTATAATGATTACGCAATAATCAAGAAAAATCTGATTTGCCTTATTTCTGAGATAGGAACTCCTGCTTCATATTTTGTTACATTGAATATATTTTGTGAGTTGTAGTAAAAGTTTTATTTTTCTGAGATTTAGTCTAGTATGCTGGTCTAGAAAATTTAAAATAATATTTCCATGGCTTTTTGTTGAATTATTTAAATTCCATATTTTCCCAGTGCCTCTACTATATCCAGGGAACAAGTAGGCTCCTTCAAAGATTACATTTAAATCAATGTTGTTTTTGTGATGATTTCTGATAATATTGGTGAACCAATCTCATTCATTATTTTTCCTCATAGCAATATTTATAAAGTTCTGCTCAAATAAATGTTTCTATTGAAAGAGATTCAATTGGCACAAACTCAACACTTATTCTGCCAGTTCAGATAAAGGAAGAAGTAGGGTGGCAAGCAAAGAATAATATAATTATTTTATACTTTCTCATGTTCTGATTACTGGCACATATCTATATACAAAAATAAAAAATACTAATTATTATAGCAGTTGTTAGAATAATAAAATTATGGACCTGGAATTCACAAATGTATTTTTCCCCAAATTGAGGAAATTAAAGATCAGAACCTGCTAGTAATTTTGACCTAATCATGCGTGAGAACTAGAATACAGAACTTCTGGTTCAAACCAGTTCTTTCTTCAAGTTGCTGCCTCTCTGGAAGCTTGCCGTGCTTCTTGAGCTCTAACAGTGGGCTTATATGGCTCTATAAGCCATGCAGTGAGTTATTTGCTTCTACTTGTAAAATAACCCAGAAGTGCACTGAGGCAAAGAATGTCCTTTGACGGGTGCTGATTTCCTCCCGGGGTATACCAGAGGCTGGGGAAAATGTGGTCACGCATGTTTCAGAGTGGCTCATTTTCAAGAGACAGACTTACTGGTCAACTATTAGAACTCCCCTCAGGCTGGTCATGCTTTTGGACACAGTGATTATGTGTGTCATGGTGAAATAACAATAAGACACCATATCTTTCTCATATTTGAGCTTTCACACATCTGAAATAATGCTCTTATTTTATTCCACGGCTTTCTTTGAATTGAAATGTATGCATTAACATTTGTGTGCTTTTCTTTTCCATCCATCCTTCTCCATCTCATGAAAAGCACATCTGGGTAAGTTAAATCACCATGGCTGGTGAACATGTTTATTTTCAGCATCATCCTCTTTTTGTTTTATCTTTAGTATTTCTCTTTTCAGTTGTAACACAAGCTGCACTGCCTCTGACCAAAAACAAAAATTGGGAAGTGTATTTATTTCTACAGCATCAAAGGAATCATTGGTTCAGAGAAATGTTCATATTTGAATTAATTATGTTGGCCTTCCAGGCAATTGTGTTTTGGTTCTTTGAGACACATGTCAACAGATATCCAGACATCATCTCCCCTAGTTCTCAAGTCATTCTCTGCGAGTTAGTGTGGCATTCAGTGAGGCCTAAGTAATAGTTGCAGGCTGTTTGGGTATTTTCAACTGTGCTGCAGGACCAACTCTACTGTGTGTTTCCCCGTGCTCTGCGGTTCTGTGTTGACATTGTAGTCGAGAGAGAAGTGTTGTCAATTGCTACAACTGCACTTACATGAAGAGGGAAAATGCTAGATCTCCCCTAGTTGCTTCTTTACACTCAGGTTCCGAAGTCAATCTTATTTTTGGTTGAACCCTTTCATTTTGTGTTCTTTCCATTGTTTCCTGTATATGGGTTAATGTTTAAGGCTTTAAACATTTATACTATCTGGATTACAGTTTCAAATTTTACCTTTTGAATTAAATTAGAGTATGCTAGTTATTCTTAAAACAAATCGGGCTTCAAAGTAAAACAAATTATGCATAATTTTATAAAATATTTACACTGGTGTAAACTTTGCTTTGGTAACCTGGAGGACTATTTAGCACACTTTAGATGGGGAGACATATTGCTCTTAAATTCAAAGCCAAAAGTTGGAGTAGGAGTTAATGAAATAGCTACTATGAGATGCAATTATCCAGGAAACTGAGGAGAGTTTTATAATTGGCTACATGGATATTTTTGATACCAATATAAGGTCAAGTGCTTTATAATATTACTTAGTTCACTAGCATGGCTTATATTTGTTTTATTTTCTTTTATAATTTCAAGTTATAGTTATTACTACTACTTATTTAACAATGCAATATTTACTCCAGTTAGGAAATTCAGGATACTAATGGAAACTCTAATAGATATTCCTAAAAATGCAAGGCAAGCTACGGTTAGAGTGCTGTTTAGCTATGCTGGCCAAATGCAAGTTGTACAAACTTACATTTTCAAAATAATAAACACCTTGACAATGGATTTCAAAGCATTATTTTCATGTCATCACTTAACATTGGTCTTCCTTGTTTTAATGATTTTTAAGTTTCATGAGGAAAATAATCCCAAGAAATAAAACTTCATTTCTGTATCTCTTTTGAATGAAATTTGAAAAATAATGAATGTATAAGGTGTTGTCACTTATGGGCTTTAAGGAAACAATATAATTGCCTTAATTCTAAAATGCAGTTTCTTGTATCGCACATGCTCCTGGAACTTAAACATTTTAGATATCAAAATAGTTTCCTTAGTACCGTTGCTAAAAGGAAGCTTAGGTGGCTAAAATGTCAGGAGAAGATAGAACAAACAGTGTTGTGCAAAATTTTGGGGTGGAAAGAACATTGAGTTAGGTGTCAGAAGACAAGAACTTAAGCCCCAACTTTCCCACTTATTTCCTGCATTCCCTTGAGTGACTAAGGTGACCTCGGTATGTGCTCTGAACTCACCAATGTTACTCTCAACTTCGTAATTCTCACAACAGCATAAGAAAATATGAATAACCTCAGAAGTATGGAAACTGAAAACTTCAAATTGGAGTTAAAGAGGGCTTAAATTAAATGAAGTACTAAAGTAGTCCAGTCTAAATGGTATGCAAATAACCTGAAAATTTACCAATGTTCCTCCAGTAAGTCCCCAATTGGGAGAACAGACCACAGTATCTTGCAAAAGTGAAAATGTTTAATGGAAGGTAATGCAAGCCCCTCTAGTTTTCAGTAACAGCATGAGTAATTATATTGTACCATCACATTTGTGTGTGTGTGTGTCTGTGTGTGTGTGTGTATTTTTAATGGTTTTCATTAAATTTAAAATAAAGAAAGAAATTATGTAAGTCCCAACTCAAATTCACACATAAATTCAATTTCTTGTCAGTGACTATGCTCTCCATTTCAAAGCAGCTTGAAGAAAAAAGGTTTCAATATGAATGAACTTTGGTTTTAATGTAATCAAATCACTTCAGTCTGAACAAACTAGAATGTGTTCTTAGACTCTAAATCAAGCACTGCTTAAATATGTAATGGAATTTTATATGCACTGCATGTAAAAATGCACCATAATACAATACACAAACACAATTGTATACACACACAATCAGTGTGCTGTGCTTTCCAAATCAAGTCAAATATGTTAATGTTGAATTTGAAACTCTTCATTATATGGAGCTAAATATGAATATTTAGCTAATTAATATTCTGAAGCAACTGATTGAGATTTATAATATATTTCTGTTTGGAATAATTATGTTGAGATATACATTTTCAGCATACAGATGTTAAAAGAAAAACTGAAGTGCATACTCTTACTAAAGTCATGAGAGCATATGATTTAAACACAACAAACAAAACAAAAAAATTTTGAAGGGCCATATTGTCCAATGATTTTTCAAAAAATTGTATGGTAAAATATCTGTTTAGAAATAATTATTAAGCACACTGGCTTGACTCTTAACCAGATTTTCATCACGAATCCCAAACCAAGTCAAGCTTTTGGAATCATCTGGAATGGATACTATTCTGACAAAGTGGCTCAAAAATTGGACTACAAAAATACATTATGGGATGCAGTTTACTGAAACAAAAGTACCTGAATGGAAGGTCTGGTCTACATATTCAACATTCACAATTATTTACTGAGCACCTCTTTTGTGCCTGACCTTGTTTTAGATGCTTCAAATTTACCTCCGAACAGAATATATAAAACTTCGCTCCTCTTTCAACTTATTTTCTATTGGGAGATAACAGAGAGGAATAAATGACACTTTATGTTAGAAAATAAAAATAATAAAGCAAGGAATAGGGATAAGGAGTGCCTGGTGGGTGTTATGGGAAGGAGGGTAAGAGACGTTCAGAGAGCAGGTGACATTTGAGTGAAGATTTAAAATAGGTAGGGAAGTAAGCCATGTGGAGATGGAGAAGACAAGAATTCCAGACAGAGGAAATAGCAGGTGCAAAGGTCCTGAGACAGAAAGAGGCCTGGGGCTGTTTTCAGGTAACAGCAAGGACACCAGTGTCATCAGGTGACATGGAAGTTGAGCCAAAGAGATGAAGAGAGTAGATTAGGTTCTATGAGCCTCTTTGGCTTTTATTCTCAGTGATACAGGAAGTAATTGAAAATTTATGAGCAGAGATTACATCATCTGACTTAAGTTTTAACAGGATCACTCTACCTTGTGTGGTGCAATTTTATTAGGAAACTAGACAGAACTTTCACAATTAAAGTTTTCTAACTTTTAAAAATGGCTTTTGGACAACTCATATAATTCACATGTGGAAATGTTACGTGCTTTCTAAGTGTTGAGTGCATATTTCTTGTTGTTTTTTCTTTTATTGAATGTAGAAAAGACTATTATAAATGTATGCCTGTTACTTCCACTTTAGTGCCACTCACCTGTCACATAAGTAAAAATGTTCCTTTCCCTAATGTATGTAAATTACAACTCTTACTAGTGCTTTTCACCTCTGTAGAGGTCTGCTCTGAGGGAGGTCTTCTCTAAATTTTCTTGCACATATTCCACGTTCAGTCCTGCCTCTGCCTCTCCGCCCTTACTGCTTATCCTGCCTGGAACACGGTCCCATCTCTTTTCTGCCTGCCTTTCAAAGCTTAGTTGCCACAAAGACTTCACCAATTGTTTCCCATGCTATTCGCCCCCTTTATGAAATCCTCACACTCAGAATATGCATTACTGATATTTCACACCTATTTGTATATTTCATTCTGTTTTCAGACAGTTTTGTGCGTTTACTTTTTTTTTTTATCTAACCAGGGATCTCCTGGAAAACTGGGTCCATGTCTATTTCCTCAGATGTTCAATAAGTACCTGATGGTTGGTTGTTTGACCCACTTCAACCCATTTCTATCAATATGTCAGTCACAGTGAGACTAGGCTATTTGAATCTGGTTTTCAATGAAGGGATGGCATGAGGAAGCCTGAGGGAATGGGTGGTGGCAGAGCAAGCCAGGTGAGGAAGCCCTTTTTAGTTTTTGGGATGCAGGACATCCGTGTCGCTGTTGCCTTTGCCAGGTGCTGAATAGCTTACTTGCAGAATGGACCCATGCTTTTCTTGCTATCCCGTCAATTGAAACAACAGTCGATTTATGTGTCTCTTCAGCCGCTATAACTTCAATATGTGTTTTGTCTTCTTGCTTATTTTTCACAATGCATACTTCTTGGTAGCATCCTTTGCAAACACAAAAAAGCTCTCCTGTTGGAAGTCATTTTTGATTATGTATTTTAACATATTATAGTCCACTGTAATAAGCAATTAATTGATTGACAGAAAATAATTAAATACTTTATTTTGGGGTTGATATATGATATTAATTATGGATTCCTAAGCACAAGATATACACATTCAAAAAACCAATTATTATATATGTTTCTATTATTTGTGTGTAAGAGCAAAGCATACTAAGGAACAGAGAATTCATTTTTAATATAGTCCTGGCCAGGTATATTAACATAAACCTGGAAGAAAACAAACTTGCTATGTCACTAATGAGCAAACTCAAATTGGTTTTGTAAATGGACATCAATTCTAAAGGCTGAGTAGTAGGGACAGTGATTATAGATGCATTTGTCAAGGCTCTTTACAACTTTTTATTGTCAGAAACAAACATTTGTTGTTATTGAAGTGTTTCGCTTTCATTAAAAACAGAAGTGGCTATAAATGGAATTGAGTTTATTATTGAATTTCAGACCTTACATTCTTTGTTGTGATAGAAGTCTATTTACTTTAGCGTTCTCTTCAAATGAGAACTAACTTTGTAGTCTAATCAAAGAACTAACTGCTAAGATAGCCACCTGGACCAGAGAGAAAGTTCTAAAACTAAGCACATCTTTTGAATGCGGCTAAAATGACCAAATTTATCTCCTGCCTCTATATACAGGCATTTTCTCTACCATTGAAATAATAAGGGAAGACGAGCAAGGCAGATGGAAAAAACCACATTTAGACTCCATAATGTATACTTGAATATGCTTATGTGGGCAATTTTCTTGTTAAAGGGATATTTGCTGATAATATAATTCAGCTTCTTAGTCCATTAACATTTAATGGTTGAATTTTAGTGAGTAAATGTTAGGGGAAAATTATTTTTAGATGTCACTGTTTAATTTCTAATAAAATCAATGAGTGATTTGCATGTATTACTCAAAGGAAGGAGGAATTATGTTATTCTATATTATCTCATAAAAAGTTTATAAAGGATTATTTGATTTATTTAAAAATAATATAATTTAAAATAATCACAGCCATCTTTTGCCATTTTACCTGACTAATCTCTGTTATACACTTCAGGCATGAACTTCTAGAGGAAGCTCGAAGGAAGGGATTACCTTTTGCCCAGTGGGATGGGCCCACAGTGGTTGCATGGCTAGAGGTAAGAGAATTCAACCAGAAGGCTCTTGATTCAATCACTACTAATTTGGTAGTTTTTGTTGTTGTTGTTGTTGTTTTAGAGAGATGGGTAAAGGCAGGTTTTGAAGTAGCTTTCCAATAGACTGTAATATCTCAGAAAGGAAATATTGCTTTTTCTAGGGACCTGTGAACATTGCAATGTAACTGTATTGCTTTCTTGTGCTAGTGGCTGAAGGACATACCCAGTGGATAAAAGGGAGTTTCTCTAAATCCCACCCTCTTTATGTCTTGAGTAAGAGAATAATCAGTTTTTTTGTGTGTGTGTGTGTTTTTTTTTAATGGTAAAATAGACGTTTTATTTATTTGTAAATCCAAACATTTCCGCGAGTTGTTTTGTATTTTGGTTTTGTTTTGGTTTTGTTTTTTGTTTGTTTGTTTGTTTTGTTTTGTTTTGTTTTGGCGGGGGTTTTGAAATCCAAATATCTTAATTAAAAGGGAGGAAGTGGAAAATGACTAGGGTCCAGCGAAGGTGTATGGAGATGTTTAGTTATTTTGAACAACCTGTGTTTATAAACTAAGGTCAAGTACCATCTTGAGTCATATCTAATCATATCTGTCTAGGCAAGGTCAATTCCTTGGCCTAGCCTGCTGGAAGAGTATAGAAGATTCAGTCAAGCACTATACTACTAATAGATCCCCTCTCTCCTTTCTTTATTTCAATCACAGCCTAATCCACATTGACTCAAAGACTTGGCTTTTTGTTTCCCTTATAGAGACAAGTAGCCTTTCAATGTAGTAGACTTTTTAAAATAAAGGATATCTGTATTAGTTACCTATTACCACGTAACAACTTATCTCCAGACTGAGCATTTATTTTTCCTCATGACTTCTGTGGGCCAGGAATCTGGACACGGCTTAGCTACAACCTCTCTCCAGTCTCTCACCGCCAGCGTGGCAGTGTTCTCAAGGCTTGATTTGGGGAGAATACACTTTCAAGCTGACTCCTGTTTTCACAGTCATGATGCAGTGTCTTGCTAGCCGTTGTCCAGAAACATCTGTTCTTTGCCATGTGGGCATCTTCATGGGGCTTCTCACAACATGGAAGCTGGCTTCCAGCAGAACAAAAGCTCTGAGAGGGAAGAGGTGGAGAGGGCTAGCAGGAATGAAGCCTTGGTCTTTTGAAATCTAATCTGGAAAGCACCATCCCTTCACTTTTATCATAGTCTGTTCCTTAAAAACTCAAAGGAACAAGATTATACAAGGGCAGGAACATTAGAAAGAGGAGCTCATTGGGATCCATCTTGGAAGCTGCCCAACACAATGCCTTAGAATGAGGCTGAATCCATTCACTTTACAAATGAGAAAAATAAGGCTGAGGTTTAGAGGGTCACGTGACTCACTGATGACAGTGAAGGAGTTAGATAGAGCCCAGGCCTTCTGATTCTTGGCATTGCATTTTGCTGATGTATTGTTTTTCGTCTTAGTCTTACTTCTCACTTTTCTCACCCTCATGCTCTCCTTTTGCTCTATCTGTTCCCATCAACAAATAAGCAGCCCTCTACACTTAGTATTTTGGCTATTGAAAAAACAAGGTTTAAACTGCTCATTTGCATGTGCTCTGCTTCTTACTCAGAGCTAAGTAAAAGTATGGCTTCTTACCCATAACTCATGATGGGGGAAAGTGGAGGGAACATTCATTTTGTAAGTATATGTAATTCAGATGCCACAACATGCCTGTGAATTGGCATCCATCCAGTGCTTAAGGTGAGTGTCAGTCACCGTGCTGTGCTCATTGCACTACTGATTCAAATGTCTCTCAAGAACATTACAGCAAACTTGAAAAATTGAAATCCCTAATTTCTAATTCATTATTCATGTTGTTACTCTCTTTAGCTAGAGGTTTCCAGATGTTTATAAATTTAGTGTCTTTTATCAGCACATTTCATTCTCCATAAGTATGTTCATATAGAACATCTAATTAAGTTCACACAAGCATTACTTGGTGTAGGTTGATGCGTGATAAATGTGGCTTAGCTACACTGCAGGCTTTGATCAAAATCATGGGGCTGGAGGTGGGAGCTGGCACTTTCTGTGACAGAATTTCTCACACTCAAAATCCCAAAGGAGAATTATAAATTGAAGTCACTCATTCAACAAACATTGATTGAGCCTTTACCAAATGCAGCTTGTAGCTGTTCTTGTTCTAACTCAAGGGGGGATTTTGTGTTGCACAACTATTAACTTTATCCCAAATAATAAAAATTAGTTGTTACATTGCAAACTCCGGAAACTCAATTTCAAATCTTTATCTCCATCACTATCTACCTGAATTTTTAAAATAAATTGCTTAATGCCCCCGTTCATCTGCCTCTTCTGGGGAGATAATAGCATCTATCTCATCGGATGGTAGAAACAAAAGGGTTCATGCATGTAAAGTACTTAGAACAGTGCCTGGCACATACGAGACACTAACATATTAATTATTACTGTAATCTGTTTTGTATTTTTTTCTATCCAACAGCTCTGGTTGGGAATGCCTGCCTGGTATGTGGCAGCCTGCCGAGCCAATGTGAAGAGCGGTGCCATCATGTCTGCTTTGTCAGACACTGAGATCCAGAGAGAAATTGGAATCAGCAACCCCCTGCATCGCTTAAAGCTCCGGCTAGCAATCCAGGAGATGGTTTCCCTAACGAGTCCTTCAGCTCCTCCTACATCCCGAACTGTGAGTCAATTTGTGCTCCTTCCCTGCCACAGGGCTGGATAAATAACAGCATCTCAGAGTCCACAGAGCAGAATGGTGGCAGCACACATTTCCATGTCAGCGTGAATTATTCTGAAGAGATTTAGCTTGCTCTTTCTTCATTAACCTTGCTGCTCCTTCCAATAGCTTTTCAGCTGCGGAGCTGTGATTGCTATCAGATTTGAAGGCTGCAACCAAGATAGACTTGTGAACTAGTCTCTAGACCAGGGGTGGGCAAACTTTTTGCCTCGAGGGCCACAATGGGTTCTTAAACTGGACCGGAGGGCCGGAACAAAAGCATGGATGGAGTGTTTGTGTGAACTAATATAAATTCAAAGTAAACATCATTACATAAAAGGGTACGGTCTTTTTTTTTTTTTTTTTAGTTTTATTCATTTCAACGGGCCGGATCCGGCCCGCGGGCCGTAGTTTGCCCACGGCTGCTCTAGCCTAATGTGTGGGTTTTTTTTCTTTTTCCTCCCAAGCAACTAGACCCCAAGCAAACTCATTTTCAGGATGTCCCCTTTTTTAAATGTAATTCAACATCTCAGGTGATTATTTGTTGGCATTAGTGCTTTCTGAAGATGCAATGCTTAATGCATGGCTTCTGATGCAATTTTAATATTTATGAAAGTACAAAACTATTTGATGTTTTATAAATACCAAGTGAGATACCTCCCTTCAAACTCTGTTAGCTTCTCATTTATAAATTCCTATTCTTCTCATAATTTTACCATATCCTAAAATTAGGAAAGAAAAAATGTTTAAAAATATGCACACCAGCTGACAAATTTAAAACTTAGAAAAACTCCCAAATGATATTCATTCTGCCTTTGTCTAGTCCTGAATTATATCTTTTGCTGATAAAGGATGTGGTTTCTGATGTTAACTGGACTTCTCTGGCCCCATTTCTTATACAGAATAATATATTATGAGAGAAGGAAGTAAATGTCAGTGGTGGATAAAAGATAGTAAAGGGATATTATGTTAATGCAGTTTTTATATTTGGTCTTAAATGGTTTTAGAGAATTTGCTTCATTTTTACTGTGTCTGCCTTTATATTCCTTCCCAGTGTACTAGATTCTAATGCCAGAAATACATAAAATTGAAAAACCTTTCTTTCTTTCTTCCTTTCTTTCATAATTCCATTTTAACTTCCTCTTAAATTACATATGGAAATATACAATTTTTAAAACTTATGTATAACATATTCTCAACTGTTTATAAATGCTGTATACTATAGCTGAAGTACTACTCCAGTTACAAAATAATTCAAAACAAAAACTGAACACACCATTAAAGTTATTGTAAACCAAATTATAAACAAATCTAAGAGTTTCCTCAACAATTTCTAACTGAGAAAGAAGCATCACAACTGGTTTACATCAACCCTCTGCTCCCAAGAGCAACTGCATACAAAATTACTAAAAATTTCTAGCCTTGCAAAATGAAGAGCATTTGGAGTTCCAGCTTCAAGATGGAAAATAGAATATACTTTATCATTTCTATTTAGCATCCTGATTTATTTCTTAAAGGAAAATAGAATAATTAAGCACTATTTCTCTAAAAAGACCTAAGCAAACTAAAGGAATGTAAAAACTATTAAAGGGGGTGGGTGCTAAGTTGTTCAAAGAACAATGAAGTGTGAAAAGAGCATATGAGACTTCATAATCTAGCCTCAGTTCACCCAAAAGCTTTGTTTCCTCAGGTCAGGTCCCAACCACACGGAACTTCTTTCAGTTTCCTAAGCTTTTATGTTCTTGGTTGATTATCGGCTTTTGTAATTGATCTTTCTTCTGCCTAGAACATCTTCCCATTCCAGGATTACCATCCTTCTCCAACTCACCCCTTATTTAATGATTCCTGAATGTCCTTTTCCTACAAAGCTTCCACTAGCTTCCACGCCTGGCTCTGGTTTCCTTCCTGAGTTTCCATCTGGGTACTTAGAAAAACCATTTTATAATTTTCTCTCCTTGATTCATCCCACACTAGGCCAAGCAATAATATTATCAGATTATCCATAGTCCTCAAGCCTTAACTCCGTGCCTGGAAAATTGGGGATAATCAATAAATATTCTTCTTAAAAATAATGCTTCACAAGTCACCCTACCCACCATTATAGAGGAACTGAAATGTGTATGGCCCTGACTTCAGAGAGGGCAACTATGGTGAGAAAAGTAAGATGTGCTTATGAGTAGGTGTGGTAGGAGATGATATATTTTAATTTCTAAATGTGAGATTGAAGCAAAATGTTATGGGATTCCATGAAAGGAGAAAGCACTTCTGCTTGAATAGGCTTCGAAGAAGAATTACCATTTGAAAGACTAGTCATATAGTGTTAATTAATTTTTAAATATTTTTGTCACTCTTAACTTTTGGACAAAGACCTTTCCAGTCTGTTTTCTTTACATTTTTGACAAAGATGAATTATTTTGTATTTTTTCTTTAAAACAGTAATATAGCATAAACATTTTCCTCAATTTAATAAATATGCAATTCTAATATGAATTTTAATTGCTACACACCTCCTTCATGGAAATACCATAATTCATTTAACCAAATCCCTAATAGTGGATATTCTGCTTATTTAAAAATTTTCATTGTGTTTAAAATACCATAGTGGATGTCTATGTAGTTATGTTGTTGCATAAGGTGTGGTTATTGACAAAGCAATATTTGAGTATAGGGCATTTATATTCTTATTATTTTTAACCCTTAGTTGCCAAATTGTATTGTATAGGCCTTTCCTTTCCCTTTTGTTAACATTGATTATCACATTACTTAAATTTATATTTTTTAAATTACTCCTGAAGTTAAAATTTTTATATGCTTATTGATTTAGTATTTAATGAATTTCCTATTTATAATTGTTTCCATTTTTCTGAAGGATTGTAGAAATTTTCATCTTTTTACTAATGTCTAAAAGCTCTTTATTCACAGAAGATATATGCCTTTTGCCAAATATTGGTTGAAGTTACATGAGATAAAGCTAAGTTCTATTTGTTTTAAAAATGATCTACTGAGTGCTCTTTTTTCTTCTAACCCATCTACATGGAAGTTGTTACTCATTTATAGTATACCTCAAATATGATTTGTTTTTCAAGAAGAAAAAAAGAAACTAAAACTCAACTTCTAGTAATGAATCCGCTGCATCAAGTAAACATGAAAACATACAAAAGTGGTGTGTGTTTTTTAAGAAATATTTTAATGTCACCCAGAAAACTGCACTTAGCCCAGATCATTCAACTTCTTTTGCGGGTTTAGGTTTGGGTTTGGATTCCTCAGCAGGTGTATCTTGTCTGTTCACTCAAGTTCTCAAGAGAAAATGACAAGATACTTAGATTCCTTTTTTCCAACTGAACAGAACTTCTGCCTGACTCTGCCTCCTTTTGCAAAGATAAAATGGACTAACCCATCAAAAGGAAAATCTAAAGTTTCCATTGATTATTTCCTTTGTCCAGTCCTAATCTTCCAGTTTTCTTTCTTCCTAACCTGGTGCTACTGCAGAAGGCCTTTTACCTACTAGAATAGGGATGCAGATGTCAGTTCATTGACACCACCATAATTAATTTTAATGAATATTTGGGTTAAAAAGTGTGTCACAAAGAATAAGTTACATTCTTTAAATATTTTTTCTTAAGTAAAAATATGTAAATGTTCACAACTTTCAAATTGAGATGAGACACCTAATACTTTCTTTGAGTATGATTCCATTGCCTGGAGTTCCACAATATCCCTTTCATAACCTCATCCATAAAGCATCATCAATTTCACAAGTTTGAATTTCTTTTTAAAGTAATAACTTCATGATACTCAAAAAGCTATTCGAGTGCAAAATCCTCCTGGATATTTACAATTTCTTCCCAGACTTTGACCAAGTTGTATCTCATTGATAATGTGTTTTAAGATTTGCCTTTATCTAGGCTTTTCAAATAATTCAACTTATTTGAGCCAAATTTCTTTATTTTTGGCTTTATGTTATATTTAAGTCACCTAATTTTTAAAAAGTGCAATGGAAAGAAATAGGATTGTGAGCAAATACAAATGATCTTTGGTAAAAATATAATCAGGCAAGTTTGCTCAGATATGTAAGACATAAGATAGGTATCAGTCAGCCCAAACTACAGGGGAAAGACAGGCCATTTATTAAACTAAACATGTCTGGGTGCAGATTGTTTAACAAAATTTCTAATGACATTGTACTAATAGCCGACAGTAAGTGTCAACCCCTGTTCTAAGTGTTTTAAATCTAATAACACCTTGTGACAACACCAGGAAGATAGGTCCTTCTATTACATCTGTTTTGCAGATGGGGTAAGTGACTTGTCCAAGGTCACACTCCTATGTGGTTTTCCCCCAGAATCTATGATACTGACAAGTGCGTCTCCTGCTTCCTGTACTCTCCTAGTTTTCCTTCTCCTTTACAGCATCCATCCAACCTGCTTCGGTTCCCACTTTCATTATTATTAACCTCATAAAACTTAATCTTTAATGTGAGTAAGATGAGGTATAAGTAATATAATGGAAAATATGTACTTTCTTATAATGAGAGACATAAATTCAGAAAAGGGAAAAATGTGGATCTAGGCCATTTTGAATGTGAAAGTAAATTTCAAGTCAATGTATTTTGGAATCTACAATAATAAAAGAGAAAGATGCAAATTAACCATCACTCTTTAACTCTACTACACCCACAAGCCACGTCCACCAGCCAATCAGAGCTACTATGCAAATTAACCCAACTAAGAGGGTGGTGGCCACGGAGCTGGAGTGAGCAGGAGGCTTGGGTTGTCCCCAGCAATGGAGGAAGCCAAGCATCGCGCCTGCCCTGGCTGGCCCTGGGCTCCACTCAAGGCAACAAAGTTTCAACTATAGAAGATAAATAAATCCCAGATACCTGCTTCCAAGCCGCCCTAGGAAAAAAAAAAAAATAGAAAAAAAGGAGAGGCTGAGAGCTTGGGTCACCAGGAGGCATGGCCAGCCTAAAAATGGCCATCAGCCCCACACCCAGGCTGGCGAGGCACCCCAGTAGGACCCCCTACCCTGGAGGGGCTGTGGGCTGCCTGAAAATGGCCCTCAGCCCTTCACCCATGCTGGCCACACCTCCATGGGGTGAAGGTCCCCGCTGGGGGGCTTGACCAGCTTGAAAATAGCCACCAGCCCCTCACCCAGGCTGTCCAGGCACCCCAGTGGGGACCCCTACCCTGAAGGGGTTGTGGCCAGCCAGAAAATAGCCCTCAGCCCCTCACCCAGGCTGGCCAGGCATGCCAGCGGGACCCCCACCCTGATCCAGGACACCCTTCGGACAAACCAGCCGGCCCCCAACCATACACCAGGCCTCTATCCTATATAATAAAAAGGTAATATGCAAACTGATCCTAACAGCAGAATGACTGGGAATGACTGGTCACTATGACACACACTGACCACCAAGGGACAGATGCTCAATGCAGGAGCTGCCCCCTGGTGGCCAGTGCGCTCCCTCTGCTCAGCCACAAGCGAGGCTGCCAGCTGCCAGCACACCGGTGGTGGTGGGAGCCTCTCTCGCCTCCTCAGCAGTGCTAAGGATGTCCGACTGCAGCTTAGGCCTGCTCCCCGCTGGCAAGTGGACATCCCCCGAGGGCTCCCGGGCTGCCATAGGGATGTCTGACTGCCAGCGTAGGCCTGATCCCCTGGGGAGCGGGCCTAAGCCAGCAGGTGGACATCCCCTGAGAGGTCCCAGACTGCGAAAGGTCACAGGCTGGGCTGAGGGGAACCACCCCCCCCCCCCCAGTGCACAAATTTTTGTGCACTGGGCCTCTAGTCCTATATAATAAAAGGTTAACATGCAAATTGTCCCCACGGGTGGGAGTTTGACCGACCAGAAGTTAGATGTGCACTGACCACCAGGGGGCAGCACTACACATGGCAGACATCAGTGATGCAGTGCTGGCAGTGGGCGGCAGTGGAGGCATTGCTGGCCCTGATGGGTCCAGATGAGAGTGGGACTGCAGCGGGATGGTGGAGCAGATGAGCGGGTGGTGCTAGGCCAAGGTGGGTGTGAGTGGGGCCCTGGCCCCCCCCCCACAGATGGCGACAGCCAGCGGGGGGCAGGGCCGGCGAGCGGGTGCGAGCAGGGGCCTTGATTGCCCTGCCAGTCGCCCCACAGATTGGCGCTAATCACCAGCCAGGCCTAGGGACCCTACCTGTGCATGAATTTCATGCAGCAGAACTCTAGTACAATCATAAATTAAAAAATACTTCAAAAATGACATTAGTAGTAACAGAAGTTACTTCCAACTAGGTAAGGTTAAGGATTATTCTGAAGTTCTGGCTGCTTTACTTATTTTATTTTTCTGACATCAAGAGAATACATTTTTTCCCCTAATTAATTTTTATGATTTATTTCTTAAGCTCACTTTGACATTCATTTTTATGTCATAATTTCCTCCTGAAAGATTTAATTAGGTGAGTCCTTTAATCCTTCACATATTTTAGGAATTTTTCTTCCAGTTCTTCATTTGATAATACTGATTAAATATTCAACTCCATCTGGACTTAGGTGAGGCAGGGGTCATCTCAAACACAAAATTTAAGGAGGCACTCACTATCAGCACCCAACCCTGCACTTGTAAACCCCTGAAAGTGAGGCTTCCTTAAATCTAGTTGGTATCTCACCTGCCTCATCATAGTCCCAGCATGTATCAGAATATATTACATTATAATGTAAACTTTTCAGTGTTTTTCTAGTACGAAGCATGTGGTTTTAGCCATTTAACAGAAGTAGAGTCGAACATTTAGAGAGGTTTAGGAAATGTCCTATGGTAGTTTCTGAGAAGTGGAACTGGTAGAATGCAAGCCTCCTGATTATAATTTGTTAAATTACCAGATAATTTCACAAGTTGTAATTGAAATTGAATCAATCACTTGTTAGACTCAGATGGTATTAGCCACACAGAAAAATAAATGACTACTGGTTTGTATTCTCCAGCTCCAAGGGCAGGGAGTGGATGATTTTAGTGACTCTCAGAGAACCACAACCAACGATGTGAGGCTTGTCCTTTCTGCTTTTCCAGCCTAGTTTTTGTACTCTGTCCTCGGACCAAGGCACCAGTGTCCTCATTGCCTAGGGTTGCTCAAAGCCTCTTCCTCTCGCTACTCACTAAGATAAGCTCTCTGCTGAAACTCTCATGCTCTATATCACCCCTTTATTAATTACCTACATGTAAGTTCCATCCCTTAAATTGGTGGCAAAAGAAATAAATCTGAATATCTTGCTACATCTGGACTTGCTTATAAAATAAACTTGTTAAAACCTTGACTAATGGCTAATTGATTGAGCTGTGTAGAAGCTATTTTATGAGTAACTTTACAAGATTCTAGAGTGGGCAGTATTCCTCACTAGTAGAACTAAAGATCAAAGGTGAATGAATAACATATAATTTCAGAAGGTTTGCCAACCATACTGTAGAAAATTGCACTGGATATATTCATGTTGCATATACAGGTACAGATTCAAACCATAGCTTACAGCACTTTGCCCATCCAAGAATTTGGTAACAGGTTGGCAAATATAAACTTTAAGATAACCTATTAGATTATACATGTATGCATTTTAGGATGAGATAATACTGGTTAAGTTTCTTCCATGCGGAGGGAGTTCATTACTTGAATTCACAGTCAAGGAAGAGACTACAGAAATCATTGTAAATTCACACGGGCTTAAATGAATTTCCTATCAGGTGATCATCACCGGAGCTCAGATTGAAGACAGCACAGGCACTTGGGCAAAGCTCTGTGACCACTGGTTACAAAGGGCATGTGACCGATGGGTGGGAAGTTCTTTTTAGCATAATACTCATCACGGGGTCCATAATGTTTATAATTAAGATCATTCCCAGAAATTGAGGGGCAAAAGGGAGAGGATTTTAATGACAGGGGTGGCTCTTGTATTCTAAGCATATTTTACAGGTGTGTACAGTTATATCCCACAGAAATAATCGGATATACTCCAATTTCCAAATGGTAGAGAAATGAGAATTCTGTACATATATATGGTGACTGTTCAGGGTTGCTTTATTTTAATGCACATATGATTTACTTATAATTATGAGTATTTACTGCTCAGCTCTCCTTTGTTACTCAATTATGTGTAATTTTCTTATATATGAAATTTCTCTTATATTGAATTATACTCATCATTTTAGTTTATATGTAGTTATTTTTAAAATTTTTTTAAATTGTATTATTTATAGTAGAAGGAAATTCAAGCATGGTACTTATGTGAATGCTTGCAAAAGCTAGACTAGAGAGAATTATGTAGGTGACTTATATTAGGATATCAACTTTGCTATTTCCAATTCTTTAAAACTAAACATGTTCTAAGCAAGTAACAAGCAATGGGTAAGATGTAAATTCCATTGTAACTAGAGGATCGATGTATTTGGATGATCTTACAATGTTTGTAGATGTTTCTCAGTTATATAGTGGAATTTGGTTAGAAGTGGTTCCCATTGGCCATTAACATCAACGATATGCCTGATCCTTTGTGTTACTCAGTGGACTTCGGTTTAGAAATTGTACATTATTCAGTGTATAGAACAATATCATGGGTTGTCCTATTCGGAAAGTAAATTATGTGTCATAGTGGAATAGTGCCTGCTGGAGGGAAAGTTTTCTTTTACATCATGTTCTCTATAGTGATAGAGGAGGCTGCTGAAAAATTAGGAAATAGATTTTGTAATTTCTAACAGTATATAGTAAAGGTGGAAAATACCTTTTATTAAATAAAAATAGCATTTCACTTCCTTCTATAAGAATAGAGGGAAACAATACATTTACTGAACTGTAAAAGGAAGAACACATCTGGAAAAAGTTGACATTGATTTCCAGACAGGTTATAACAGTGCTTTTAGCTTTGTATTGACAACCAATTTTCTCTTTCTAAGGACATTGAAGAATCAAAACTCTGTGAATGGAATATTGCTGATAACAGAACAAAACATAAATGCCTTTGTTTTCTGAAGAAAATAAAAAAATACACTCTTCTACAGTTCAAATTCAATCCATTCTCTGTGGATACAATAGCCACATATCTTTGAAAGGGAAATTTTGATTCAGCCATTTTCCTAATTAATAAACACAGAAGTTTATTTTAAATCTGTGTTACAGGCGCTTCACAGAATGCCTCTTTCTTTTGATCCTTTTAAGTAGAAGAAAAGGGGAGCCATGAGCAAGTCAGCAATGCTCTCTCTGGTGCACAGAGGCCGTGTTGCTTGGTGTCAACTCACTGTGGCTCTGCCTTCTTCTTTACACGCTTCCCTCCCTGGATCCCACTGCTTCCCTCCGGGCCTCCTTGCAGCCCTCAGGCAACGTGTGGGTGACCCATGAAGAAATGGAAACTCTTGCAGCTCCAGCGAAAACGGTTAGTCCGTATGGCTCTGTTGAAAGTTACTTCGCTGCTATTTGGATGATAAAGCTGTTTTGTTCAGGATAGGTTGAAGTGGGGTTATGTTTCCATAGGGTGATGTAATGATAACTGACATTTTTGCTATGGTTTTAGTTTTCTGCACTTGGGCATTTTTCAGTGAAGCAGTGCTAGATTCTAATAATGTGGTTAATGTCATCAGCATCTGTAATATGCAAACACTACTCAGTAACAACTTATATATCCATTTTGCAACATTGGTAACAAATATCACTTAGTATTGGGCACATTCACATTTAATACATATTACCAAACACAAAAAAAATTGTAATAAAAAAATTTAGATGGAATACTCATTTTTAATGCAATAATTTCATTTCTTGTATTTTAGCATTTCAGAGAGAGCACTTTACCCTATCCCCTGCTCCAAAAAATGTTCTGTTGTTTGTTATTCAAAGAACAGGCTTAAAGAACTCTTGGTGACACTGATTGTAATTGTCTACTTTTAAAAATATATTACATATGGCCATTTTTTAAATTTAAAGTAGCAAAGTTGAGCACGACATGCATTTTATTCTTACCAACTTTTTAAAAATTTAAATCTTCTTTCAGTTTTATCCCTATTTGAAAAATGTATTATCCTGTTTATTGTGGATAAAAATGCCAATGCCCACTACTAATTCCATTTCTGGTTTAGTTTGTTGTGTTAGTTTTGTCTTTTTTGGTTTTGCTTGTTTTGGCTGTTGCGGAAATCTATTTGATTACCACAAAACTCTCTTAGAGGAATGCAGTTATTTTTCCACTTTATTAATTTACTTTATGTAAGATTTCTCCATCATATGCGTATATGTGTGAGTGTATGCTTGTATGAGAGTGTGTGTGTGTGTGTGTGTGTGTGTAAAACAATGAACTGCATAGGGGTATAACAGGCTATAGATATATAATGTACATTTTATAATATATGTGTATATGTCCACATTTGTGTATTATGTTTTTATGTATATGATCAGAAATTTTTATTATAATTAATTACATTTGGAAAAGTACACACTTTTAAGAATTAAAAAGAGTTTAGAATTACCAGATCAAATATATCATGAAAATTCCATGTGTCATATGTGTGTGTTTAGTTAGAATTAATTAGAAACTATTAATTAGTAGTTGCCTTTGAACTGCTAAATTGATTACTGTGATCTGAATAAGAATCTGTCTTTAGCTTTCTATGTCATAATTAGCACTTTCAATAACAATTTTGCTTTTTAGAAATTTCACCATAATAATTTGAAATTAATTTACACTTATCTGCTTTATTAATCACTCTCTGCTGCTAACACAGAAAGAATCTGAGGAAGGAAGCTGGGCCCAGGTAGGAAATTCAAATGCTTTAAAACAGTATCACTAGTACCCTATGAGGATATAAAGTATGAAACTTATATATCACAATATTGTAAATCTTCCCTTTGCCTAAAATTAGACTAACATGCACATTTAAATTTATTATGCTTAATTATATTTATCCTTTTAGCTCACCATATTTTGCAAAGATGATGATTATCATTTTACACCTGGCCCCTTCATAAAAGGAACTCTCATTTATTCTTCAAAAGCATCAACTGTAACAAATTTCTCTGAAATCACCCCTGAATATATTTAATCAGGAATCATTCAAGTTGGATATAAGGGTGGGGGAAATTAAACATTTATTTGGAATCACATTTGCTTTCAAGTATAGTGGGAAGTGTATGAAGATTAAGGTGGGAGGGATGCTGTCAGCATTGCAACTGCAAGTCACAAGTTTCTCCCATTTATTAGGATGGCAATAGAAGACACACATATTCACTTTGAGCAAACATGTCCACTAGGAAGCTGTGCATTTCCTAGCATTTCCACATGCTGTATAACTGAAAGAATTACAGTCATGTACCAACATTGTGGTCAGTGAAAGGCTGCTTTTACAGCATGGCCTGGGTGCTCAGTAGACTATACCATCCAGGTTTGTGTAAGCACACACTGTGATGGTCCCAAAATGATGAAATGACCTAAGGACATATTTCACAGAACTTACCGCCACTATCAAGCGGTGTACTGTGTGTTACTGCAATTCAAACCTTTGACAATAAGGAAAATTTCAGTAGTGATTATTAAGAACTACTTGAGTAGTTATTATATTTAAACATTCAGTAAATTAGCATTGCATTAGGTTTTGATTTGGTAAAAATGTCATCATTTTTAAGAACACACCAAAAAGGAAGCACCTAGATTTTTGTCAGAAATACGCAATTCCAGTTTGTCATTTGATAAGGACAAACACTATAAAATTAATAGAGAGTAATAATCTTTACTAAAAATTGGTTTAGAGGTGATGTTTGATTCTATTTTTCATTTTGGCTGTTACAAACAGCGTTTGGTAAGATCAGTTCATCTTGTTGTATTAAAGAATTGGATTACCGTTTTTAGTTTTTGATCATGCCCTACTTCTTTAAATATAGAGTCTATATAGATTAATTTCTCAAAAAGACTGATTCTTTCCAATAATCTTTATGAAATATGGCTCATGCTTCACTAGGTAATGACAATTGTCCACCTAAAACTTCAGCCTTCTGTCTCTCTAGCCTTGTTGCCCCTTTCTTATTCATTTACTATTTTCTCTTTTACATCAAGATGATTTGCCATTATATCATAGCAATGTCACATCATCAAAGAGAAGCAAATGGTGGAGTATTAGCTAACAGTTAAATAAAATATTAAATAAACCTGTTTATATAAAGAATCTTTAAGCTCAGCATCTGTATTATATCATTAATTCTAATTTTCATTAAAAATGCACATTTGTATAAAATGTAATTCTTTTTGAGAATACAAAATGAAAAACATCATTTTCTATAGGCAAGTACCTTGATACATGTACACAGAGTTCCACTTTGTACCAAAGTAAATCGCATCTTAGAGGTTAAATATTATTTCTGCCATGTTTCCATATATCATAGTAATTAAATATCATTATAATGGTAGACAATACCCCCCCCATTACCACCTCATTTTATTGGCTAAGAAACTTGACTGCTATAAAACAATTCTAGTGTCCGGTTTTCCTACAGACCCTGGCTTATGGAGATATGAACCACGAGTGGATTGGAAATGAATGGCTTCCCAGCCTGGGGTTACCTCAATACAGAAGTTACTTTATGGAGTGCTTGGTAGATGCAAGAATGTTAGATCATCTAACAAAAAAGGATCTCCGTGTCCATTTAAAAATGGTGGATAGTTTCCATCGGTAGGTTTCTTCCAGAGTCATTAAAGTAAAACAATAAATAATGTACATATTTAAGCAGCGCATGACTGCTTAAATCAAAAAGAGATGTAACTAAATAAAAAAGAGATATTTAGGAAATAGATATTTGCTATTCTGTGAACATCGAGTTGACAAAATATTTTCATGCAGCAAATTACAGGGCCTATCTAATGTCCCACTGTGTGCATGTTATGTGCCCAAAGCTTATAAAACTATACATTAGTAAAATTTTCATACAGCATAGTTTTTTTTTTTCTTTATCTTTGGAAGTCCCATGTTTGTGATTTTATCTATGTATGTTTTTCTATTATAAAATTCTTTATAAAGAATAAAATTAATTTAGTTTTAACTATAAATATATGTGGTTATAAATTACATAACTTAGGGATATACTAGAAAAAAATTGAGAAGACATTCTGCTGTAAAAAACACTTTGCGCTTTTGCTTTTGTATAAGTCTTTTAGTGCTTTTACTTACTTGTACATTAATTTTCAGGAAAAAAAATCCTGAATGGATTGTGAGACAGCTGTAAGGACACAGATGAATAAAATGCAATTTCTTTTTCAAGGTTTTTGCCACCGAGGCAGTAAAAATAGGCTTGCTATAATACCATGTCATAAATGTTATGCTGCAGCTTGATATCTTTGTAGGTTTATGTGAAAAATTGTCAGTTAGATTGTGATTGTCTTATGTATGGTTGATTATGATGGTAAATTAATAAATATAGATGAATTCAGTTTGGGGAACTATTTGGTCATATCCTGTCCAACAGTAAACTAGGGACTAAAAGGAAAATGATATAAAATCAGATTCGTAGCCCCACCCAGGTGGCTCAGTTGGTTGGAGTGTAATCCCATAGCCCAGAAAGGTTTCAGTTTTGATTCCTGATCAAGAAACATAGCTAAGTTAGGGGTTCAATCCCCAGTCAGGGTGCAAGTGATAAATGTTTCTATCTCACATGGATGTTTCTCATTTTTTCTCTCTCCCTTCCTCTCCCTTTAAAAAAAATCTTAATATCATATATGATGACATCAAGTTAGTATAAAAAGATAATAATTGGGACTCTTTAATCAAAGATATGCAAATACTTTGAATCTTAATAGAGTTATTAACACTGTTGGATTAAATGAGGTACAGATAAATATAACACTTTTCTATTTATTGATTTGAGAGAGAGAGAAAGATATTTATTGTTCCACTTATTTATGCATTCATTGGTTGATTCTTATATGTGCCCACACCAGGGATCAATCCTGCAGTCTTGGCATATGGGATGAAGCTTTACTAACTGAGCTACCCACAAGGGCCATAACATAGTTTTTAAAAACCATTAAAATATTGGATGGAAAATCCTTGATTTAAAAATAGTGCAAGTGAGAAAGATATGTGACTTGTAGTTGACACAAATACCTCAGTTTGGGTTAATGACTCACCAGGGCATATTTAAGATTGTATTTATTGGCAGGCATAATAGTAGTCCTACCATATGGTGAGATGACAATAACAAATTGTATTAATTTATATACATTAAATTGTTCTTGATAAAGTGATAAAAGTCTGGTGGAAAGGTTGAAGAAATTAAAGACATTTAACTTGGATATGGGAAGACTTCAGATAAGTTCTCTATGCTTTAATATACTTATGTGGTGGGAGACTAATATTGGTTCTGTTGAACACGCACTTTTCTAGTTCAAACAGGTGTAGATACTAAGATGAGTTCTTTGTGTTCAATAGAAACTTTGTATGACTCTCAGTTGCCCTACAGCATACACATTGTGAGATAATGAGTTCCCTGTCACTGAGCATTTAGGCCCTCAAATTTTGCATAGTTGCATTAGCCCTTCGCATACTAGAATTTTTGATGACACACTTGTGTTTCTTCCCATTCTTCACTAGATCTACTTTTTTTAGATCTACTTTTAATCACTTTATTATTATAGTAGAAATAATTATAATAATCAAGTTTTCTTTTTAAAAAAAATAAAAATTACTTAAATGGCAAGGTTCTTGTTTGTTCCAGGAAATACACAAGCTTCATCTTTATTCTGTGCTTAGGTCTGATGTATAGCCGGTAGTACCTAACTGCATGCTGCATGTCATGATGGATGGAAGCCTGACAGACACTGTTTTAATAAGATATATTGTCTTTATAGCACAACTTTATATTACATATAAAAACTTGCCAGAAACTTGCCAAGATTCATTGATTTAACCTCAAGCAGCCTAATGCCTATGATGTTTATTACACCAACATTTTATGGGATCCCGCTGAGTTAATTTGCTAGGGCTGCCATAACAAAATACCACAGGCTGGGTGGCTTAAACAACAGATATATATTTTCTCACAATTATGGAATCATAAAACCTGGGTTCAAGGTGCCCATAGGATTGGTTTCCCCTTGCATCGCAGATGGCCACCTTCTCCTGTGCCCACACGCTGTCTCTGCTCTGCGTGTGCATCTGCATAGCTCCCGTCTGCGTGTCCAAATTCTCTCTTCCTATGAAGACATCAGTCAGACTGGAATAAGCCTTACTCTAAAGACTGTGTTTTAACTTAATTACCTCATTTAAGACTCTATCTCCAAATACATTCTGAAGTACTACTGGGTGTTAGGACTTAAACATGAATTTGGGGAAACATAATTCAGCCTGTAACACTCACTCAATGCAGATTTCTTTTCATTTTCCTCTAATTGTGAAGTATTTTGGGCTCCACATTGTCTTTATTAAAGTGCAGGGCTTAGGACTGCATCTAACACTTAGGAGTAACCTGGCCAATGTGTATGTATAAATTTATGTGTCTTTCTAAACACCTAAGAGATCACTAATGATCCATGTTCTTTCCTCTTGAAGCTTGAAGATTCTTTTTTTAGTACACTCTTCCACATCCTTAATATCTGATATTCCCAAATCTCCTCCTTTCTTCTTTCTAGACATTTCTGGTTTCTGGGCTCACTGTTCATGCCCGTGGCAACTGTCCTTATTATGACCATTATTTTAGCAGCCCTGACACCCTAATTGAGTTCCTTGTCCCCTAGGTTTTCCTCACCTTCTATTTGCTACCAGATTATTCTTCCTTAAACCAGAAATTTTCATTGCTTTTCTTTCTGTATTCCACACTTACAATGAATGCAAAGCTTTCCTTAATAGAACTCCCCTCTCTCTATATAATATTATTTCTCTTGACTTCCTGCCACAGATTTTAATCCCAGGTAGTGTACCTCAGTATCGCCAGGCATTTAAACTTTCATCTGCAGCCCCATGGTCATGATGCACCATTTCCTTTAATAACCCTTCTTTTGCACCTGATCCTAAGGATCAGTCAAGTTTCTGCTCTTCCTTTCCAGAGTTCCAATGTCTGCCGATTTGTTCCTTTCACATATTTCTGTATCACTTAGAGTTGGTGGCTGATCATCTTAGTATTTGGTTATCTTATTACTTCACTTATTCATATTTTTATATTACTGCCCTCATTACTAGTAGCTTTAAAGGAGAGTATAAATTTCACATATATTCCGCCAAAACCGGTTTGGCTCAGTGGATAGAGCGTCGGCCTGCAGACTGAAAGGTCCCAGGTTCGATTCCGGTCAAGGGCATGTACCTGGGTTGCGGGCACGTCCCCAGTAGGAGATGTGCAGGAGGCAGCTGATCGATGTTTCTCTCTCATCGATGTTTCTGACTCTCTATCTCTCTCCCTTCCTCTCTGTAAAAAATCAATAAAATATATTTAAAAAAAAAAAAAAAAAAAAAAAAATTTCACATATATTCCTTCCTGTCTCCATAATAATGACTCTTTAAATTATTTTCAAAAGACTGAAATGTTCACTTGTCAAAATAGCCTAATGGAAGACAAAAGCAAATGAATAAATGACATAATCCATAATTATTCTCAAGACTATACTTTTCTCGTTTTGCAAGTATTTTTTTTTCTCTTTAGAAACACTGTATGCTTACTTAGATAACTATAATTTTATTTTCCTGCATTACTAAAGAATTTAATTACAGATGCAATGTATTAACCTGTTGCCCTAAAAGTAGTGCACACTGTTGACTCCGCTTAATCGAGGAACATTCTTCATCTGCTGAGTATATTTAACATGTTTTTTTACTTTAAAAAATAACAGAACAAGTTTACAGTATGGGATTATGTGCTTAAAAAGGTTGAATTACGACAGAAAAGAGCTGGAAAGAAGACGAGAAGCAAGCCAACATGAAATAAAAGGTAATATACTTTCTTTCATGTCAGATTCCTTTGGGGGGGAAGGTGGTTAGCTTTCACTTTTATTAACCTAAAATGCTGTGTGTTTTACAATGATCATTAAGTAACCTAAGTGTTTGGCTAGAATTGTGTCATCATTATTTCTTTTTTATTACTTTTCTGATTAAAATACAGAAAAGAATATCATCTCTTTGCAAGGTAAATATCTCATTTGATAAATATCTCAAATGATCTTTTTTTTTTTTTTTAAATATATTTTATTGATTTTTCACAGAGAGGAAGGGAGAGAGATAGAGAGAGTTAGAAACATCGATGAGAGAGAAACATCGATTAGCTGCCTCTTGCACACCCCCCACCGGGGATGTGCCCGCAACCCAGGTACATGCCCCTGCCCGGAATCGAACCCGGGACCTCTCAGTCCGCAGGCTGACGCTCTATCCACTGAGCCAAACTGGTTTCGGCTCAAATGATCTTTTAAATTGAAATTTATTCCTCTGAACTTATTAATTATACATTCTGTTTTTCTAAATGTACCTCCATATAGATATTTTTGTTAAACTTTTAATAGAACATCCTCATTATGATTTAGAGAAATATGGTATATAATGTATTTCTTGTAGTGCATTTCTGGTTTCTATCATTTGAATTTAAGGGATACCACTATCTAGTTTTCTTTCTGAAGTATATTTTCCTAGTAGATTTTATTATGCTTTGTCTCACCACATGGAATATTCATATATAGATAGATATAAAGAAGAAGAATTACCTATTTAGTCCTACATCAAATATTGTATTAGTATATGACAGTTGCTGTTTAGAGTGTAGCTCTGAGAAAAAATAAACTTCCATAATTCATTAAGATTAAACACAGACAACTTCCTATGATAAGTAGCTGTGAGTAAGATTATAAATAGCCCCTATTTCCTGTAACTGATGTGATGACATTTACAGGAATAACTCTTGACTGTGACTTGGAGACCTCTGTTATTATCTGAAGTGTTAATTAACCTTGACCTTAATAAACAGCTTTCAAAAGTGAAGAGACCATGTGAATATCAAGAATGTACTAACATTTAATTTGTTGCTAAGGAACAGTCAGCTCTGATCTCTGGCCATTTATTGTTTAGGTCCAGGGGATCTCTAAAAAGATTTAAAGTCAGGACATAAATTTTGCTTAGGAACAGATTTATATAAAGGGATTTGATTTACAAAATGGAAAAACAAAGGTACATTGCTGTTCTGAAGAAGAAAAGTTTGGATTAGTGCCTATTTATCTTCACCCTATAAATAAATGGCTTATTTTATGTACTTGATGATTCTTAACTACAGTTGTGGCAATGGAATTTTTGACTAAACATATTGACGTAGGTGTTCCAGGGGTCCCAGGGCCCAAAGGTCCATTATCCACTGTGGGTGCTTGGTTTCCCACAGGAAAGAATTCAAAGGCTAGCCAGTGTGGAGTTCAAAAGGAAAGAGAGCTTATTAGTGAAGCAGTGAGATAGACAGAAGGCTACTACACAGACAGAACAGCCTTTCCCCTGCCCCCAGTGGGATTTAGTTCATTCATTGAGGCTCATTTAATCAAGGGATAGGGCATTCAATGAAGGGGAGGAATATTCAGATATTTTCTGGGAAAGGGTGGAGACTTCTTGGAAGAGCATGGTTGGCCATTCTGTGTCTTTATATGGGCTCTCTGCTTCCTATCACTGTAGTATGCCTTTCAATATGTTAATGTATTGCAATGAGCAAATAATGAGGCTAGGGGTTACCACAAGGTGGAATTAGTCACCTGTGTTGGATTGAGCTGGTCTCTTGCTGGTTCTAAGCCATAAATCTGTTGAGCGGGGGAGTGTCTTACTATCTCTGAGATAATCCTAGTAGCCCTTATGAGTTACAGCCATTTCACCACATACCCTATCTCAATATATTTGCAGGAAAAAAATGATGACTGTTTAATATTTCTTAGACTATCAAAATATAAACCCAGCTCTAAAAAAGAACAAACACTTTCTATACATAAATCCATTTAATAGAAAGAAAACTGGACAGTTTTGTTGTTTTCTTGAGAAAACTATTATCCCGTGAGTTTTTAAAAATGTTGCATTTAGTGAAAACAACTGGATAACCATTGCTGTCAGCTATACATACCTGCCCAACTTTTGAAGTGCAAGTGTGCTGTAATCAAGAGTTAGAACTAATCAGTTGCTATCAACAGTAGCAGATTAATATAACCAAAGTATAATGCTAACCAACTGACACCCTATTTGCTGCCCAGAGGTCAGTTGTCATAGCCAGTCCTTGCAGCTGATTGGCCAGGGAATAAATCCCTCCCATTGACTTGCCAACAGCAATCAAGGCTTAACTACAACAGGGATTTGTCAGCTGATTTTTCAACAGAAACTTTTCAGGCCAGAAAGGATTGGCAAGAAATATTCAGTGAGCCCTGGGTGGTTTGGCTTAGTGGATACAGTGTCGGCCTGTGGACTGGGGGGGTCCTTGGTTTGATTCCAGTCAAGGGCATGTACCTTGGTTGTGGGCGCATCCATGATGGGAGGTGTGTGGGAGGCAGCTGATCGATGTTTCTCTCTCATCGATGTTTCTAACTCTCTATCCCTCTCCCTTCCTCTCTGTAAAAAATCAATAAAATATATATAAAAATATTCAGTGATGAAAAGCAAGGACCTACAACCAAAAATTACTGTACCCAACAGAGCTATCATTTAGAATTGAAGGAAAGATAAAGAGCTTCCCAGAGGAGGAATCAAAATGGTGGCATAAGGTATACACTTGTACGTGCTGCCTTCCACAACCAGACCAAAACTACAACTAAAAGACAAAACAGCTATCATTCAGAACCACGGGAAAGCTGGCTGAGTGGAAGTTCTGCAACTAAAAGAAAAGAAAAAAGTGCATTGAGACTGGGTAGGAGGTGCAGAGGCACCAAGAACGGAGGTACGGAGGCGGGCGAAACGGGCTGGCAAATAGGTGCACTGTTTTTTTTTCAATTGGAAGGGAGATACAAGCTCCTGACTGCTCTGAACTCCAGTTTTTGGCAAGACTCTGGGGACCCAGACTCCTACAGGGAGAAACTGAACTGTCTGGCATCGGGTAGGAAAGCGAGGTGGCTTTCTCGCAGAGGTACTTGCAGGGATCATTGTTACTGTGTGGGAGTGTGGGACGCAGAGACGCGGAGATGGCTGACTGGCAGCCATTGCTGTTTGCTCTGCCCTGGTGATTCCCTGAGACCCTGCCCCACCCAATTTACGACCCCACCCAAGCTGTGCACAGCAGCTTATGCATATGAATGGCCTGTCCTTTCACAGCTTAACCTAACAAACTGCAGCTGGGTCAGAAAGCTCCAAAACTTCCAAACCCCAAACAAAGAGGAGAAATCTGCAGATCTCGCTGTAGCTCCTGCTGGGTGGCCTCAGGCAGTGGCTGACTTTCCTCCTTGGAGATCCAGGAGCCAGTGTACCCAGTGGTCATATACCAGATTTCAACTCCTCATATCCATAAGTGACACACTCAAGAGGCAGACTCAGTGAGCACCAAAGCCCCACTGAAGCAAGTGCTGCCCCATACGGGTGTCTCCAGCACAGCAGTTCTTCCACTATAGACACAGCGGATCCTCACTGCCAATTGGCCTGGAGGTCAATTCCTCCCAGTGATACCAACAGCAAACAAGGCTTAACTACAACAAGACTGTGCCCCCAGCCCACGAAGGGATGCACCAAGGGTGTCCACCTCAGGTGATTGGGGAGGCTGAGCCACTGGGCCCTACAGGACACCTAGCACACAAAGCCACTCTATCAACACAGGGAAGCAGCCAAAATGCGGAGACAAAGAAAAATGTCACGAATGAAAGAAATGGAGGAAAGCAAACTACTGCATGTAGAGTTAAGACCACAGTTATAAGGTTACTCAAGAATCTTCTACAAACCTCCGAGGAACTTAGTGACACCTTCAAGGATCTTAATGAGAATGCAAAAAAGTGGAAAAGGGCCAGTCAGAAAGTAAGTATACACTGTCTGAAATAAAGAATAATATACAGAAATTCAACAGTAGACTAGAGGATCCTAAGAATCAAATCAAAGATTTGAAATATGAGGAAGCAAAAAACACCCATCTGGAAAAGAAAAAAGAATCCAAAAATATGAAGATAGTGTAAGGAGCCTCTGGGACAACTTCAAACATACCAACATCTGAATTATGAGGGTGCCAGAAGAAGAGAGAGAGCAAGATATTGAAAACCTACTAGAAGAAATAATGACAGAAAACTTCCCTTACCTGGTGATAAAAACAGACATACAAGTCCAGGAAGCACAGAGAACCCCAAACAAGAGGAATCCAAAGAGGACCACACCAAGACACATCATAATTAAAATGCCAAGGACAAAAGACAAAGAGAGAACATTAAAAGCATCAAGAGAAAAACAGTTAGTTACCTACAAGGGAGTACCCATATGACTGTCAGCTGATTTCTCAACAGAAACTATGCAGGCCAGAAGGGAGTGGCAAGAAATATTCAAAGTGATGAATAGCAAGAACCTAAAACCAAGATTACTCTACCCAGCAAAGCTATAATTTAGAATTGAAGGTCAGATAAAGATCTTCACAGATAAGAAAAAGCTAAAGGAGTTCATTACCACCAAACCAGGATTATATGGAATGCTGAAGGGTATTCTTTAAGAAGAGGAAGAAGAAGAAAAAGGATAAAGATAAAAATTATGAACAACAAAGTGACAACAAATACATATCTATCAACAAGTGAATCTAAAAATTAAGTCAATAAGAAAATCTGATGAACAGAATAAACTGGTGAATATAATAAAAGCTGGGGCATAGAAAGGGAGTGGACAGATAATTCTTGGGGGGATTGGGGTGTGAGGGGTGCAGGAAGAGATAGGACAAAAATCTTACACCTATGGATGAGGATAGTGGTGGGGGGTAAGGGCATGGGGTGGGATGGGACCTGGGTGGAGGGGAGCTATGGGGGGAAAAAGGAACATCTGTAATAATCTGAACAATAAAGATTCATTTAAAAAAAAAAAAAAGAGCTTCCCACACAAGGAAAAGCTAAAGAGTCCATCACTACCAAATCAATATTATATGAAATGTTAAAGGCTCTTCTTTAAGAAGAAGAAAAAAAGATAAAAAATATGACAATCAATACATATTTATCAAAAATTGAATCTAAAAGTCAAAATAAATAAATAAGCAGAACTGAAACAGACTCATAAAGAGAACATTTTGCCATATCTGGTTTTGCTCAATGGATAGAGCATCAGCCTGCAGATTGAAGGGCACATACTGGTTGCAGCTTGATCCCTGGCCCTGGTTGGGGCACATGCAGGAGGCAACAAATCAATGTGTCTCTCTCACATCAGTGTTTCTCTCTGGCTTTTCTCCTTTCCACTCTAAAAATCAATGGGAAAATATTCTATGGTGAGGATTAATAACAAAAAGAAGAGAACATTTTGATGGTTGCCAGGTAGGAGGAGGGTTGCGGGGTGGGTATAAAAGGTGAAAGAATTGGAAAGTACAAATTGGTTGTTACAGAATAGTAATGGAGATGTAAAGTACAGTATAGGGAATATAGTTAATAATATTCTAATAACTATGTTTGGTGTCAGATGGGTGAGAGACTTATCCAGATGATAACTTAGTGTTATATAATGTCTAATCACTATGTTGTGCACCTGAAACTAATAAACTATTGTATGTCAACTGTAATTAAAATTATTTTAAATGAAAAAATAAAGAAATAAACACATGAAAATTTGAAGAAGCAGAAGGTTTAAAACTGAAGTTAAGAATTTGATTGGTGGTTTAACAGTAAAAGAGAATTTGAATAAAAATAAAAATGATCCATCAGCCCTGGCTAGTTTGGCTCAGTGGATGGAGCATTGGCCTGCGGACTGAAGGGTCCCAGGTTCAATTCTGGTCAAGGGAACATGCCTGGGTTGCAGGCTTGATCCCTAGTAGGGGGTGTGCAGGAGGCAGCCGATCAGTGATTCTCTCTCATCATTGATGTTTCTATCTCTCTCTCTCCCTCTCCCTTCCTCTCTGAAATCAATAAAAATATATATATTTTTTAGAAGACCCATCACCTGAAAACATGTGGCCTGAGACCTACATGAAAAGAAACAAAAGAATGAATGATATAAAACAGATCATTAGAGACAATTGAACATAGTGAGGAATCTAGTACAGGTATAATTGGAATCCCAGAAAGAGAGATAAGAGAGAATGAGGAAGAAGCAATATTTGAAGATAATGGTGGAGATTTGGGGGAAAAAATACTGAAAACAAACCACTGATTCACAATACCCTATGCATGTCAAACAAGTAACAAAGGAAAGGGGTTGAGGAGGGAATATATCTAGATACATTGTAGTAAAACTGCTGAAAATCATGACCCCCACAAAAAGAAAAAAATAATAAAAATTAAAAAAACACCTTCGAATCTGCCAGAGAAAACTCCACATTACTTTCTAAGGAGCAGCACGAGGTATCTGACTCCACAACTAAAATAACACCAGAGAAAAATGGAATGACATCCTTAAAATTTTTCTTAAAGCTAACCTCTTATCTAAAAGCCTATAACTGTATGCCCATCAATAATAAAGGCAAAATTAATACAGGTTCAGACAAATAAAATCTGAGAGATTACATTACCAGAAAATCCAAAGAGAAAATAAATATTAGAATGAGTTATTAAGGCAAAAAGAAACTAATCCTATAGAACATTTTTAAATACAGGCAGTATAAGGAGAGTGGAAGGAATGTATGGGAAATGTTAATAATGATAATAAAAGCAATAAATAGTATTGTCTGTGGGATTTGAATTTCACATAGAAATAATATATATTATAGCAACTATAATGCAAAAGACAAGAAGGGAATACATGGAATTAAATTAAAGTTCTTTGCATTATCTAGGAGCGATAAAAGTACTGATTTTCAGTAGATTATAAATCAAAGATGCATATTACAAGCTTTAAAAGTAAATAGAGTGGTAGAATAAAATAATTTTTAAATGACATAGTTTGTAAAAAAGCAAGGAAGAAGAGAAAAGGAACAAAAGACAGGTAAGACAAATTGAAATATAGTAGCTTTAAACTCAAATATCTGAACAATAGTATGAAGTGAAAGGGAATTAACTAATCTGATTAAAGAGACCATTAAAAAATTAAAACAATGATATGCTCTTTCCAACCATAAATATAAGGTCATAGAAAAGTCGGAAGTAGAGGCGATAAGCAAGCGCTAAGGAAAGTTGCTGTGGTTTTTGTAATATCAGAAGATAATTTAAGGCAGGAAGCATTACTAAATATAAAATGGGTATTTTGTAATAAAAGGGAAGATGTGGCAAATTTGTATGCAAGTGATATATAGACTTAAAATAGGAAAAGCAAAATCAGACAGATCTAAACGTAAAAGTAGATATTTTTGTAATCATAGTGGGAGAGACTAAAAATATTACAAATTCATAAGACACATAGATATAATCAGTTAGTAAAAATATGGGAGATTTGGAAAATATGATTAAAAACTTGAACCTAGCCCTTGCCTGTTGCTCAGTGATTATAGCATCGGCCCTTGGACTGAAGGGTCCCAGGTTGCAGGCTTCAACCCCCCTGGGGCACATGGGGGAGGCAACCAATTGATGTGTCTCTCTCTCTGTCTTTCCCCCTCCCTTCCATTCTTTCTAAAAATAAATGGGGAAAAATATCCCCAGGTGAGGATTAACAAAAAATTTGAACCTAATTGAGATGAAGGAACCTCTATGGGGCTGAGGCATCACTTTCTGGCTTTAATGTTATACACAAGAAAACCTCACTTGGTTAAATGAATGCATTAAGACAAACTAGTAATGCTTTTGAAAAATGTATATAAATATACTTTCTCACCTTCCCTTCAAAAAATACTACCTTGCTTTTTGCAGGTAAATTAAATTGAAGAAATTGAAAACTAATTTCCAAAATCTCCTTTATACTTTTCTAAAAAGGTGTACATTTCATTTAGAAAGAAAAAAATGAACAGAGAAACTTACTTGTACTGTAATAATAATTTATGAGTTTCATTTGCCTTTCTATAGGATTAGGAAAATGTTTCCATTCCTTTTTCTAATGTCCCCTTAAGTTCCTTACATTTTTTTCCTATGGAACATTCTATTCTTTCTATTTTAGTCATTGTTATATAGCATTCTGCCAACTCATAATGGGAAGAAATGGAAAAAAAATAAAATACACATTTATATGTTTTCGTCTAAAAAAGGCATTTATGATATTTTTCCCTAAAGGTTTTAGTTTTTAAAATAAAATTTAATGTGTTTCATACCTCAGTAAAATACTGCTTTTTAAGCTAATAGGAAAATCAGCATGTGATTTGACTGAGTGATTGATTTTTGCATCGGTATGTGATTTTAAATAATAAATTGCCAAAATAGCAGGAAATATCAAATTAGCTAGTCCTTGTTTTATCTTGCTGCTTTGGTCTCTGATTTATTACTTCAGGTGAAAAAAAAAAAGTATCTCCTAGTCTATCTGAAATGTTTACATAGTGGTTCAAAAACGCCATGACGACCCTTTCTAGGTTCTCATTTTGCTCTCTTTACTGAAGCTATGTATCAAGAAATATCCCCATCTGGTGGCAAAAATATTGAACTTCAGATAGACTCCTGGAGCTTCTAAATGAAAACAAGAAACACAGACATTGTGTTCCATGTGATGGAAGGGGTCTCATATCAGTGACAACAAACTCTTAAAAGTGACATTTTTCTAGATTAAAAGTACAAATGGTTAGTTGTTAGAACAGTAAATACATGCAACCTAAGGGGTCCAGCCAGGTGCATTAGGGAGTGGATAAAGAAACAGCATAAATGCTGACTTGGCCAGATGCCTGTGGCCCATTTCAGCCAGTAGTTTTGTTTATTATGCAAAATATTGCAGCCTAAAATGATGCACCTCTTTCCCTAGATGTGTTGGTGTGGAGTAATGATCGAGTTATCCGCTGGATCCAAGCAATTGGCCTTCGAGAATATGCAAACAATATCCTTGAGAGTGGCGTGCACGGCTCACTGATAGCCCTGGACGAGAACTTTGACTACAGCAGCTTAGCTTTGTTACTGCAGATTCCAACCCAGAACACCCAGGCAAGCCCTCTGAGCCCTAGCGGCAGTGCCCTCGTTTACATCACAACAAGCTGAACTTTAGGGGGGGAAACGTTGGCGGGGTATTAATGATTCCTAAGGAGATTTAGCTCAAATATGTCACTGGGGCTTTCATTTCAAGTTACTGAATTTCTATCCAAAATAAAATCATACAATTAAGCTGGAAGTCATTTGGAGATTATGTGGTCCAACCTCGCACCAGAATGCCAGATTCCCCAAAACAGTGTCCCTGACAGATGGCCTCGGTCCCTGCCTCTCTTAGAGGCAGTCATTTCTATTTACATATCTGAATTATACAGACACTTAGCATCGGGAATGCCATGGACTCCCAAATCTGGATAATTATTTGAATCACCGGAGTTCCTTAAAATTTTAAAATAAAACCTGCAACCTGTATTACAAGCCTAATAAATCAGGTATCAAGAGATAAGTCACAAGAATCTTACTTATCTAAAAGTTTTCCCAGTGGTAATCATTGACCAGGTTTGAGAACTTCCTGCCTAGACTTGTTCAAAATTCCGCAGTCTAACCTCACTTTTTAGTTTGTTTTTATGTATTTCAAGGTTTATAGAAAAGTTTCCATTTCAATAGAGTAGCAAAGTGAGGACATGTGTATGAGGCTCTCTTCTGTTCATAGATGAAAGCAAGTTGCCCTACCTTTTATTTATAGGTTAAATTTACAATGGCTTGTAGACATGGAGGAATAAAAACTTAAGACTCCATAAATGAGACAGGGTTTGGAATACTTTCTCAGATAAATATAATCTCTATTTTTTTTAAATGCAATGTGACGTCAGTGTTGGTGACTGTTATTTGATGTCAACAGGCCAGGCAGATTCTTGAAAGGGAATACAATAACCTCCTGGCTCTGGGAACGGAGCGGCGACTGGATGAAGTAAGTCCTTATCTCTCATTCAAAAGGATCTTGTGAGTACAAGCAAAATGGCCTTCAAGGCATAGTACCCCAAAATTAATCAGATGCTTGCTCCATGGATAGGATCTAGAATTTCCCCCAGTACTGTTCCTAAATATTACATTTTATTACTCATTTTATTTTTGAAAGAACTTCATGAATTCATAAATGTGATCATATCAACGGTTAGAACCACTAAGATGTAATCCAAAACAAGACTGTTTTTCATGAGCTGTGAATGCAAAATAGCATTAAGCGACAGTTTTTAAAAATTGTAAGTAATGATAACACCAATCCTAATAAGTTTAGCTTTTAATAAGAAATGTGCTTATTTCTTAAATATCAGTATATCTTCACAGGAAATTTTAGGATATTAAAATGAAGAGAACGTCTTTGAATAAGTGGGGAACTTTTCATAATTTTAGGTAGCAATATTATTGAGTCTTCCTTAAAAACATAATAACATTTTACCAGTTGTAGGATTTGAGTGTAAGAATCCCTCTACATCATATATGCATGTTTAAACGATTTGAAAAATAATAAACATCTAAGTAGCCTCCTGAGATGGAAGAAATACAAGGGACCTGGCACGGTAGCTCAGTTGGTTAGAGTGTCATCCCGAAATGTCAAGGTGGCAGGTTTGATCCCTGGTCAGGGCACATACAATAAGCCAATAAGTTCATAAATAAGTGGAACAAGTTTATGTTTCTCTCTCTCTCTTTCTCTCTCTCTCGCTTTCTGTCTCTCTCAAATCAATACATTAAAAAGAAAGTGGGTTTTTTTTAAAATAAACATAAAAGAAAGAAATACAAGCGATATTAGCAGACTCTGCTTGATAGTCACTGTGAACTTTAATAGCCCTGAGTTTTACACTGTCTCTTAGGAAGCTGTGAGGAAACGTGAGCTTGAAGAGATGCATACTTGTGTGTCACAAAATGCAGCTCTTCCGTGGCTACAAAGAAAAGCTGATTAAAATAGTTTTGTGAATGAACCCAGAAAACTCTAGTGATGCAATAATTCCACATCCAAATGGACAGGGCCGATGATCTTGTTATTATAAAACCCAAACTGCCTTTGTGGAGGAGGTTGTAGGCCAGTAAACTCTACAGCCCTGACCTCAGTGAACTCCCTATAAATTCATACTCCTGTCCAATCAGGATAATGAGTAATATTTTTTTAAAGCCAGTTAATATTTAACTGATGTTAGTTGGATAAGTAGGTTGATTATCTTTTAAATCCTTATTATTAATTGCTGAATAAAAGATAGTGTGCATACACCAGTACACATTTTTAAATACAACATTCTTCTTGCTTAGAAGTTGCGAAAACATTGTAATAAAAAGTACTAAGAGCCTGTCATGTTGCTGCATTCTAAAATGCAGACTGACCTGAAGGAGCTGTCTGGTAGGGACATAGCCTGGGTGATTGATAGAGCTGCTTCCTGAAAGTAACAAGAGGAGAGTTCTGAATGGAATGTGATTATCTGCCTTTAAATCATACAGCTTCTTCTTATTATTGTTAAAGACACAGCAAATGATTTTATCATTCAAACCCTTTATTATCTTCTGTTTTAGCTTTTTGTTTGTTACTTTTTGGGTTTTTTTTGTGTTGTTGTTTTTTTTGGGTTTTTTTTTTTGTGTGTGTGTGTGTTTTAGTATAAACAAATGGACTAAACAGCTTGCCCACAACCAGAGTGGACTTGTTTCTGGGGTTGATCACATTCAGATTCAACTCAAATAATTTGAGAACTCATGTGCTGACTTCAATTGAGAGGATATATTTTAACCTCATTTCATAGATTTTTTTCCCCATGATGTTGCTGCTTTATTGTTTCCATTAACTTTCTGCAGAAACACTACGTGGAAAGAGCAGAAGTCAAGAATCATAACATGATTTAAATTATTAAATGTATGGCTTTATTTTTGAGCCCTTCACTCATCTGTATATATAAAAGCCTAATATGCAAAGTGTCCCCTTGGGAGTTCCACTGACCAGGAGTTCGATCGCTCGCTATGACATGCGTTGACCATCAGGAGGCGGTGCAGAATGAAGGAAGGCCCTGGCTGGCAGCCGGCAGCTGCGAGGGACCCTATCCGTGCACAAATCTCCTGCATGGGCCTCTAGTACATTATAAGAGTTGTTATTCCTACAATGGAAAATAGTGTTATGTAGAACTGAAGACTCTGTGTTAATGCAACAACTTCTCCAAGACTCAAGAAGTCAGAGAGGCCACAACTGTGAAACTTTGCTTCTTTTCTGCATTAGTGAACACTTGGAGATCTAGGTCAACGTAAAACCAAACAGAGGAGGAGTAGCAGGCATTTCTCAAACTGTAAAATGTCTACCAAATCTAAACAGAATTTAGATATTGATAATAAGAATTCTAAGAGAGCAGTTGATATATATCATTACAAGTGACCTTATGTGTCACTTAACTAAATTCACAATCTATGATGAAGAATCCCTTACAATGTTACTTATTTATAACAGTGATAATTTGAGCTGAATGTCAATCATTCTGTATGTTAAAATGAAGTCACCTGAGTTAGTGGGTCAACCATGCATACTTAGCTATAACTTCAGGAAATAGACAGTCCTTCCCTAGATGAGAAACTTAGTAATATGAGAAGAGAAGATCTATGTGGAATGGCTAATATTTTCCTTAGAATTAGATACAAAAATGATATTAATTAAATGCTAAATTACATATTGGTGCTAATCAATGTAGAGAAAAGAATTGTGTCTGTGTAGGTACTTTATGTATGCACAGAGAGGGCAAAAAAAGTATCATCCATATATAATAGAATCAGCAACTAGAATTACATTTATAAAACAGCAACCAGAGTTATGTTATGCTTTTAGTGGCATCTAAAGGGAACATGCATTTATTAAAATGATGTTGCTCAGGCTGCACAGATTTTTCAACAAATAAAAAATTAATTCTGTATCAGCTAAAATCTAGTATGTGACAAATTGAGTTTCTTACATAGAATATGTGTTATAGTATCCTATATGAGCCAGGCTGTATCAAATATAGATTCCTATAACACATATATCTTGTACATATAGAAACAACATTTATAAAATAGATATTCAAGTATATGAGCCAACACTTATTCCACTAAGTATATTGTAGCATAAAACCAGTTTGCATAAAGTGCAACAAAGTATAATTTTTGGAAAAATGTTGGGATTTTATTTTAGGTTTTCAAAGATGTTTCCTTTTATAGATGACAAACCTTGGATTTGAAATCATATGAAAACTTTACAAAAACATTTGTTTCAAACTTCCTGCATTTTCATTTTGTAATCAAAATAAAGCATAACATTATATATGTACTAGAGGCCTGGTGCATGAAATTCATGCACTCAGAGGAGGAGGTCCCTCAGCCTGGCCTGTGCCCTCTCACAATCCAGGAGCCCTAAGCCGTCATTCGGACATCCTTAGCGCTGCTATGTAGATGGAAAAGGCTCCTGCCACTGGCGCTGCGCTTGCCAGCGTGAGCCTGGCTTCTGGCTGAGCAGTGGTCCCCCTATGGGAGCGCACTGACCACCAGGGGGCAGCTCCTGTGTTGAGCACCTGCCCCCTGCACATTATAATGACTGGTTGACCTGTCTACTGTCTGCTCCCTGGTGGTCAGTGCATGTCATAGCGAGCAGTTGAGTGGCCTTAGCATATCATTAGCATATTACGCTTTGATTGGTTGAACAGACCACCAGACACTTAGCATATTAGGCTTTTATTATATAGGATATTTGATGGGCTGAATGTAAATAATCAATGTTCCACATTTTAACTCTGTACTGGCAGAGCGATGACAAGAATTTCAGGCGTGGGTCAACCTGGAGAAGGCAGTTTCCTCCCCGAGAAGTACATGGAATCAGCATGATGCCTGGGTCCTCAGAAACATTACCAGCCGGATTCAGGTTAACCACAACATCTGGACAATCAAGGAAAATGGCGACGGATGGTACAGATGTTTTGCATTTCTGCTTCTAAAGTCAAAAGCTCATTTTGCAAATGCTAGTATCATTCTCTGACCTTGCATAGCTTTTTGGAATTGTTTTCTTGAGTTGGTTTGCTTTGCTTGAAGTTTGCTTTGCTTTCATCAGACCAGACTCTTTTGCAAACTGCTAATGCATGAACTCATGGCACTTTATTTACATTTAAACAATGATTTATAATATCCTAAAAGAAAAATGTTCACATCTAGGAAGATTAATAAGCATCAGCATGACTTGTGTTTCTTTTCTATTCCTAAATTAAATAATTTGTTTAATTAGAGGTAGTAATTGGAAATTAACTCCACTGTCATCCACATATTTGAATATTTCAAGTTTTATATGTCACCTTAGGAACTCAGACTCATCAGATACTCTCACCTTTGACCGAGGTAGAAGGCCGTAAATAAACAAGCACAACCATGAGAAGAGAATTAAACAAACACGAAACCAACAGTCATTTCCCAATGAGCACTTCCTTCTGTGGACATTAGAATTGTGTTACCTACTTTCCAAAGGAAAATAGCCATTCTGGAGGAGAGACAACTAGGCATGCAGCCACAACGTTATTTCTGTTTGATAAGCATCAAAAAGCAAATAGCCCCAGTCTATTATGGCAATCACCTGGAACTGTTTCTTCCCGAGTTTACAGTTATCGTGGCCTATAAAATTCATTCCCGCATAAACTGTGACCTTTGATTCACATGTTTTCTAACTTGTTAATATTATGGAACATGCTAGCAGAATTTATGAGTTATTTAACATGATTAAAATTAGTGTAGAACCCCTTCAATACTCTGAAGGGAAAACACCCACCCACCTAGATCCTCTAAGAGCCATCTTTGCTTTAAAAACAGACGCGCCCTGGGGAGCTGCTCTTGTTGCAAATTTCATCTCAGGAGAAGGCACAGCTTGAAAGCTCAGTTGAATCGCTTTGGAATACATTTTCATTCGTGACTTGGTCTAGCAAAAAGGAATGTGAGTGGCTTATATCTGAGAGAAAGAATGTCTACTGATAACTTCAGGCTCCCTCTATGCAGGGAAAAGAAATCTTTCTCATCTGAAATTCTGTACTCAATCGTCCAAGTCCCTCTAAAGCCCTTTTCTCCATTTGCAGTTGCCTCTTCAAGACTGCAGAGGTTAGACAACTCCACTGTTCGCACATACTCATGTTGACAAGCCACTCAAAGGAGGCAGCACTGACTTGCTGTGAGTAGTTTTCCTTGGCTGACAAAAACCAAACCACCACAAAAATGGAACCTCATAGACTAGTAAATATACACAATATTCTTTGGTACGGCCTAGCAGAACAGAGGTGAGATAACCCCTTTGAATTGCTAGAGGGTGGAAAGGAACCTATATTTTAACTCTTCATCTAGGATTTTCTATCATCATCTGTCTGCTGTGGTTCAAGGTCTGTTTGTTGGAGACCTGTCACTATCTCAGTACACACCAATGGGTTGCTACCACAGTCTTCTACTTTTTAGTAGCATAGTATATTGACGCTCATAGCAATATTTATTGATGAGAGTTTGGCACTTACAGAAAAATACACTTATTTTTATTGCTTAAAGTATTACAAAGGGTATTACATATAGAAAAATACACTTTTAAGTGAGTATTTTAATAAGGGAACCTGAAATACGCAGGGAGTGATTTTCAGAGTCAAATAGTGGCAGACAGGAAAATGATTTGGAGATGATTTCATTTTAAAAATAAAAACATAACTGAGAACTTTGAACTTTTAGTATACTGTTTTTCACCACTATGATTTATATTTGTTGAAATTAAATATGAATTTTAAGTATCTCAGGCTTAAAGCATAGGAACAGAGTTAAATTACTTTGTAAGGATTGTGGACAGGACTAACAGAAAACCTTGAAATTTAATCATAAGGTATAACGCATGTGTAGTTACAGAAATACTAGTTGGTGGAATTGACTTGCAAATCTATACCAAAATGGAGTTGCATTAGCAGTCTTAGAAAAACTGGCTTCCTAGATTATAAATGTTCCAAGCACTCGGGGGAGGAGGTCCCTCAGCCCGGCCTGTGCCCTCTCACAATCCGGGAGCCCTAAGCCATCATTCAGACATCCTTAGCACTGCTATGGAGATGGGAAAGGCTCCTGCCACTGGCACTGCGCTCGCCAGCGTGAGCCTGGCTTCTGGTTGAGCAGTGGTCCCCCTATGGGAGCGCACTGACCACCAGGGGGCAGCTCCTGTGTTGAGCATCTGCCCCCTGCACATTATAATGACTGGTTGACCTGCCTACTGTCTGCTCCCTGGTGGTCAGTGCATGTCATAGCGAGCAGTTGTTTAAGTGCTCATAAAACATTTTTTAACCCAAAACTGTACATTACCAAAATACTTTACCATTCACAATGAATTAATATTTTAGAAAAATACTTGCAGAGCAATATTTAGAAGAAAATATATGCACAGAGAAGGGAGAGGAAGCAGTTATAGGCAGAGGAACAGCTCATCTTGTGCTGTTTATTCATTGCCTTGAACGAAAAGCTCCACACAACTTATTGTTGGTCTTTGGGGCTTAATTTAGGAGCTGATATGTTGCCTTATTTAGGTCACTATTTGAAGCTGCTGATGATAAAATAAAAAGCCTTCAGATAAGAGATTTAATTTCAGAATATAAAACCATAACATTAAAATTTTAATTGCAGTATGCAATTTGTCATCTAATTGGGCATGTTCTAAAGTATATAATAATTTGACTAATTTGGCTAAATGAGCAGCTTTTTAAAATACTGTTTGGAATAGCTTCTATATATAACATAGTTTTCCCAGAAATGAATACTTCACTAAGTTACAAATGTCTACTTAATATGTTGAGTAGTGCTTGCTTTTTAGCTCTTGACTGATGGGTAGAATAACTCTTAACTATTTGCGATCTGTATTTTGTGCATGGCATTCAAGTTCATATTTTCTAGTTTTTAACCATTCAATAGGAAAAAACTTATTTACCATAGGTTAATCTTGGACAACTAATTTTTATTTTGACATAACATTAGTAACTTTGTCATTAAAATAATTTAGAACATTATTTATTATTTATTTTGTGTTAGGAATAGTAATTGTGGGTTTTCCTAAAAATATTATGATAGGAAAAAGTCAATGATGCTACATCTCTGACGCAGATCCTTTAGAATGTTATTTATTATCATTATATTACTGTCATAATTAAACCAACGTATCTCCAAAAGAGCTCTAAAATACTGGTAAATGAGCTAGAATACAAATCTATTCCAAGGAATAGGCCAACTATGCCCAATTCATTATTAAGCAAGCTGTAAATATTTCAAAGGGACTGCTGACATTTTCTTTGAACACCTTTTTTTTTTTAATATTCCCATCATACTTTCCACAAAAGTGAGCAAATATTATTTGTTAAGCTTGCCTGCACAGAATTGGAGAAGAGCAAATGTTCATTACATACAGCTGTTGGTTACATCCTGGATGATATCCTGTTCATTATCTCTTAGGACAGGAGGAGGCAGGCTGCATGGCTGCAGCCTGTGTAATGGGGTAGGGAGACTTTTCAGTCTTGGACCTTTCAGTAAACTAACACTGTCCATTGAATATTCTAGATGTCGTCTTTTCGGTCTACCCTACCTAAAGTGCACTACCATCCAAGAAGACGAGCAGTGAACACCTTTGTGAAAACTGAATTCTAAGGAAATAACCACAAGTAATGGTTTATTAAACTGAAAATGTGATTTTGGGGGGAGTCAGATATCATGTTTGATTAGTTCACTACAGTTGTAAGAAAATGCTTAAGTCATTTGAATAATAAACATCATCCACATCATAACTTCTGTACAACAGATGCTTTTATGAAATGGAGCCACCTGTTTTTTCATGTTTTATTGTAATATACTAGGCATTTATGTATTACTGTGTATGTATTTCTTTTTAAATGTGTAAGTCTTATGTAAATGGATATAAATATGATTTTTTTAAAAATAAAATATATGGTTCATGGAGTCTCAAGTGCAAACATTTGACAATACCAAGTACTGTTTGTATTTTACCATTCCACCATTTTTACAGTTTTTGAATTATAACAGTCAAATTGGTATGTTTCCTGGAAGCATGTTTCATGCCTCCACATGTTTCACCTTCAAAGTCTGTCAATACTTAAAGCTGAAAACCTGCCTCTGATCATGTAAAAAAGAATGATTTAACCTGGAACTGGAGCCAAAAATAGACCTTTCAAGGCAATCAGGGATGTCCTCTATCTTTAGAAATAGCACTGTGATGGCTCGATCTCCTTTTCAATACAAGACAAAACCAAACTGTTTACAAGAGTCAAAAAGATTATTTAAAAAAATTTATAAAGAAAAAGACATTATCTTCTCTTGTTACCTGTGGACCAATAATTTTTTTTTTCTTTACTGAGAACCACATGTCCATTCAAATATCTTGAACCGCCAGCAAGAACTGTTCAGTGAATGTCAACCACTGCAAAGTCCCAGGCTCGTTTCCACTGGAAGAAAACAAAACCCCGCAACCCTCCCCCTTTGTCAGTGTACCAGGGCAGTAGCCAGAGTCATGTCTAATGTTATAAGCTTTTAGCCGAGATGGCCTTGTTTCGACTTCCCTGAAGTCAGTCTTATCAGAGGAAAGAAATGAAAGACAGAATGATTAACATATATAGTGTATAAAGTATAGAAGAGTAATCTCTTCCCTGTGGCTTTATTTGGTGGTGTTACTGTTGTTTATTCTTTGTTTATATGGGAGATTTCAGAGTAAAACCTATTTAAGAATACATTTATCTATCTGCTGATTTTCTGCTGTTTGATCTTATTAAGTGCAAGACCTGTCATTAGTAATTTCATTTTTGTATTTAATTTGCTATGTTTGCACGTACATTACATTTGTTTTGATGTCTACTTTTGTTTAAACAGATTCAGTCATAAAGTAATGGTAACAAAAGCCCTCTCCATTGTCAATAAAAAGAATACTTCCAATTCTCTGTTTAAGCTTTGTTTTCTAGTCACGTAAATTTGAACAATTTACTGAATATCATTCTTTTAAGGAATCTCCTCAAAAGTGAGTCAGCCACAAGGGGGAGTACTAAACTTGCTTATGAGAGTGATTTTACAATTTTCTGAAAATGTTGCCTGGGCAGAAACAATGGAAAAGAGCTTTTTAAGCTCATCTGAACATGGGGATGTTGATTCACAGAAATGAAATATAATATAAAAACTATGATATTATAACAATATAAACTACATTTGTATCTACTCATACAGGATTTAATCACAGAAGTTTCTCCCCTTTAGAGATCATAAGCAAGAAATAGTAATCATTTATAACAGACTCAAATATATAGGGATAAAAAAGATCCATCTATGTGTCTCAAAAAGCATAAAATACTCTTTAATTTATAGGATAATATCTTTCAGATTCTAAAATCCATTTAATCCACTTAAAATTCATTTAATGAGCGTCTAGCAATATTATACATTTTCACATAATTAATAATCTAAGCCTTTACAAATACAGTTTTATATAAACCAAACTGCTTTTTAAATGCAAAACAGGTCTTAATTGTATATACCCAATATATTTTCATGGGCAAAATAACTTGAAAAACACTTCTATAGATTTTAAAAGAAAATCTTTATATTTTAATTTTTCCAATGTCTTACAGTAAAAGAATTATAAAAATATGAAAGAAGGTCATACAGAATTTATTTCATCAAATTTAAATATGACTGCATTTTTAGTAACATTATATTGTTATTTTTAAAGGTGCATTTAATTCAGAATATTTTAGGTACTATGTAGTAAAAGTGCTTTATGATATAAGTATTAAAGTAGAAATTTCCTTTTTCCCCCCAAATTTTAAGCAATCTGATGACGTGAGTGTCTTTCTGGCCCCATAATTATTAGTATGAACGTGACATCCTCTGACCCTGCAAAGGAGATATATATTTCCTCAACCAGACACAAGAAATAGCTGCTTTCCCAGTCTTGTGCATTGTCTTCTTCTCACTCAACTAGAAGACAGCTCCAGCCTGCTTGCTGACCTTCCCTTCCAATGTGATTACCAGGGAAAATGTGCAAGAGATCAAAGTTGTAACCTTTACACACTTCTTGCCCCTGTGTAATATACCTTGAGTTTATTATACCTGGCAAACGATACAGTTTCAGCTAAAGAATTTTCCATCTCAAATTAACTGAATCTTACATGAAAAAGTAAGGTAATACAATTAAATGCTAAGTTATAACAAATGGATTATTTGTTAAGATTACAGATGTGATAATGGACTAAATATACCCAATATAAGCTACACTTTAAGAAACCCAACAGTTTCAAATTATAAACTGAATGTCTGTCTAGTTGGTTTAATTGAGGCTACTAAAATAATTAACAAAAACAACTAGATGAATATAGTTTTTCCAGATGTAACGATCAAAAAGCCAATTTAAGCAAATAGGAATTTATTTGAAGAAGTCATTTATTTGAATAGCCTATGGTCCAGGTAAAAAGCACACATTTTCAAAATGTCTTTATACAGTTTGTAAGCAATTTTATACAACAGACAAGTAAATATTCTCCTTATCTAATATCTCTGACATATATTTCATGTACCCAGACTATCATATTAGGACAGCTATTCTTCACAACAATGTTCCTGATGGACTGAAAGATTAAGGAATACTTTGAGTACCATCAAAGACTCAATGGGCATGGTATATTTTTGTGTTTAAATGAATTCTTTGATTACTGATAACATGTCCAACTCTATGTAAACCAAATATTTAATTATCCATATTGTCTACCCTGATTAATTGGAACATTATCATAAGCTTATTAACAAAGATTCATTTTTCAGTGTTTTAAAAAATATATCAATGGTTTTATACAAGTTTAAATGCAAAGATGTGTTTGAATAGCACAATATTTTTAGTGCATCATTTAAAAATCAGAGGTTTTGCATAAAAATCTGGTATTTTTTGTTTCTCTTACATAATGTAAAAACTTCTACATTTCTTCCTGAAAAGCTTTTTTTTTTGCCAGTGTGCCCCATTTCCTATCATTTCCTTGTTTCCCTAAGAAGCCGGAATCAGTAAGTACAGTCCACTAAACACCAAAACAAGAGGAGGGGCTCCAAAACCCTCCGCTCCCTGACAGATTCAATGACCTCCAGATGCTCGGCCAGGCACAGGGTTCCCTTGACTAAGTAACAAATGACCTGACCCCAGAGCTGTATCCAGGAAGCCAGCCTTCCCTCAGGAAATGACAAGACAGATCCAGCTACCTAGGAAATCACCGATTAGATGATTACCATGCACGCGGGCAACTCAATAACATTAGAAAACGTTCCAAATTTCCATAAGAAAAATTGTAATCATTTTTTTTTTTACTTCAACTTGAATTTTAGGTTTTGGGTCAAAGCTGCAGATGCTTATTTTTAGGAAGTGGCTCTATATTAATGTCACTTTCAATCAAAATGCTTTTGGGGGAGGTACAATTTTTAAAAATCATTCATTAGATACATTTTTCTAAAATTAAAGTGCTAGACAACCTATAATGAGTCATGTTATAAGTAATCGTAACATTGTAAACATGTTACAGTGCTAATTGGGTCTAATCACTAGTCTTCGAGTTCATTTTTTTAAGACCACACCTCACAATTCACATTTCAGTTTGCAAGTAATTTCGATGTAAATAGTTATTTCTGTGAAATAATTCAAAAACCTTGACTCCAATTAGTAAACTGACTCAAAAAAGTCATGATGCTTGCTTTAGTACTTCTTCTATGTGCCTAAAAATGCTGGGGTCTTCGATCGTAGGTGTTACCTGAAAAGAGAAGTGGAGGTATGAGTGCACTTCCTTAAAACCCTTTCATACATTTCATAATAAATTACATGCAATGTTGGATTCCCCATTATTTTATAATACTCATATATGTAAATGTTCAAAAATAGGGAACTTTGAACCTAATATTTTAAAATGTCCCTCAGCTTTACAGAATGACAAAACAAACTGTCCCGTTAGCAAAACTAATGGTCCTCAATGCTACTTTCTACAGAATTCCTCTTGAGATTTTTCTATGTGCCTCTGTAAAAATACAAATTTTTTTTGCACTTGCACTACTCTACTATTAAAATATGTATATCTCAGTATGTACAATATGCAGAAAAATTTTAAAAATTCATATGCTTGGATCAGCCTAAAGTTTCCTAAAATAATTTTCACTCAATACAATTAGCATATGTATCAATGCAAAGAGTTAAACAGGTATTGCCAACCTTAATTACTTGCTTTCTCACTAACAGCCAATAATGAATACAATGCAGGAAAATGTAATTCAATAAAGATTGCATTTCCACAAGTTTGATTGGATTTAACTAACATATTTACTAATAGTGATATTTTCACACACTGATTCTTATATTCTCAAAACATATGATTTTAATTAATCTGTGGTTCTCCAAAGCCATGATTCCTACAGAGTGACTATGCAATTTCTCACTTAACATTTTAAAAAGAGCTATTATGTGTATTTTAGGGATGCAATTCATACTTAAGAACCATTTTTAAGAAGTCTGCTGATGCCAAAGAAATGGGGATAAACCATTTCAAAACTCAGCATTAAACATCCTTGATAATTTACCTTATAAGGCTTGCCATTGACAAGGGCAGACAGAGCTGACCGGGGAATTTTGCCAGATCTAGTTTTGGGTAATTGTTTGACAAAAACTGCATTTCGAAAAGCAGCCACAGGTCCAATGCTCTGTCTAACGTGCTTCACAATTTCTTCCAACACTTGTTCCTCGGTTGTATTGATACCTGGGGAGAAGGTCAGATGGGAAGCAGTGAATTAACCTTAGTTAATCATTCAGGGCCCAAACAGTCAGGGAGGACAAAGCTCTCACCTTTTCTCAATACGCAGAGGGCTAAGGGGACATGCCCTTTCAAAGGGTCTTCCTTGCCAACAACAGCACAGTCAGCCACGGTGCCATGGGAAAGGACTGACTGTAATAAGAAAAAGCATTCATTTAGTGCATGTGTGTGCGCTCACGTGTGTGCGTGTGCGTGTGTGTGCGTGTGTGTGTGTGCGTGTGCGTGCGTGTGTGTGTATAAATTATTTTAACTGGGAAACTAAGTACATGTCAGATAACTCAAAAACACGTATCTGTCTTTGTGAAAATTACTACTAATTCACAATTCATATCTTACTACTGGTGTGAATGATTAGGATCCCCATGGTAGTCACTCACTAAAGGCTGACAGTAATTAAGACAAATTGCTTAGTTCACCTGGAAAGTAAGGGATTTGTTTCTTCATCTCAATCGTTCATTAGTGAAGTCAGGGAAAATATGCCGGGGATACCACAGGTTAACCAATTGCAACAGGTCTCTGAAAACAGAGAGGCTCGTGGTGATTTGGCTTTAGTGGTGGCAACCAAAGGCTCACCTACCAGGAGTCCATGGCAGCCCCAGGACTAAAGACGTAGTGCTTATATTTTTGCATCTGTTACTAAGCAAAGACTAAAGCATTTCTTTTCTTGAGTGACCACCCAACCAGAGAAGACTTTCCAAAACAAGAGACTGGACATGGGAGTGAAGCCCTGACATCAAGGAATCACATTGTCCAGGAGCCGTTTTCATATGCTCACCCGAAGCTCTCAGCTTTAAGACTCAGTGTCTTAAAGAACAAAGCAGCTACCTATCTGGAATCACAGGAACCAGCTGAGTCACCACAAGAAACACAGAAGCTTAGGGTATAAAAAGCCATTTCTGCTGTGATGGGATTTTAAAAACTGAATATCCAAAAAGTTATTTTCTGAAAAAGTAATACATATTTCAGTGACTGCAAATCTCTAGTGACTAGACAAAACAGTGAACAAGATACCAAGAGTTCATTTAGAAGTTCTCATTCTTTCTTCCAGTCATTCATTCAACAAAGATTGACTAAATACTTCCTGTGTTCCAGCCACTGCACTAGATTCAGTGGTGAGCAAAAATAAGCAGAGTGCGGTCTCATGGTGCCTATGGCCTAGTAGGGGGCAGCAATATTAACAATCAAGCATAAATATTTGATTATCATAAATGTCTAAATATAAAAGTGTAAGGGCTTTGGGGCATTAATCTGTTTTTATATGTGAAATAAAGCAAAAGTAATCAAGTTGGCCGAAGGATATGGATGTCAGAGAAACCTTCCCTTAGGAAATGACAATAAACTCAAGTTTAAAGGATTAGTAGACATTGATTAGGCAAAGAGGAGGGAGCCCTTGGAAGGATTGTGCATGTACAGTCACACCTGAAAGAAACCAGTGTGGCTGGAAAGCAGGCGCAAGGCTGAGAAGATGAAGCTGCAGAGGTGAAGAGAGGCTGTGCAAAGACTTCCAACTGTAGTTCTGGCAGCACTGGGAGGTAATAAAGCACTTTCAGGAGTTGAGGAAGAGATGCAAGGTCAGATATATTCTTAAAATTAACTTTATATTTTAGAGTAGTTTTAGGTTCATAGAAAACAGCAGAAGTACAGAAAGTTCCCATATACTAGTACCTCCCGCTCCTGTATATGAACAGCCTTCCCCACCATCAAAACCCCTCACCACAGTGATATATTTGTCACAAGTGATGAACCAACATTGACACATCATGATCACCCTAGTCCAGTGATGGCGAACCTTTTGAGCTCGGCATGTCAGCATTTTGAAAAACCTTAACTTAACTCTGGTGCCGTGTCACATATAGAAATTTTTTGATATTTGCAACCACAGTAAAACAAAGACATATGTTTGATACTTATTTTATATATTTAAATGCCATTTAACAAAGAAAAATCAACCAAAAAAAATGAGTTCGCGTGTTACCTCTGACATGCGTGTCATAAGTTCGCCATCACTGCCCTAGTTCATAGTTCACTTTAGAGTTCACTCTTGGTGGTGTACATTCCATGTGTTTTATGACATGTATCCACCATTACGATATTTTTCTTTTTTTTTTCTTTTTTTTTTAAAATATATTTTATTGATTTTTTACAGAGAGGAAGGGAGAGAGATAGAGAGTTAGAAACATCGATGAGAGAGAGAAACATCGATCAGCTGCCTCCTTCACAACCCCCACTGGGGATGTGCCCGCAACCAAGGTACATGCCCTTGACCGGAATCGAACCTGGGACCTTTCAGTCTGCAGGCCGACGCTCTATCCACTGAGCCAAACCGGCTTCGGCACGATATTTTTCAGAATGGCTTCACTGCCCTAAAAAAACCTGTGCTCTGCCTTCCTGCTAACCCTTAGCAACCCATGATCTTTTTACTGTCTCCAAGGTCCTTTTCCAGAATGTCCTGTAGTTGGAATAAAACAGTAGGTAGCCTTTTCAGATTGGCTTCTTTCACCTCAGAGTGGATTTTGAAAAACACAAACTTGTTTCATGTGGAGAATAAGTAGAAGATTGTTAAGAGTGAGTATCACAGTTTGCAGTGAAACTACCTAGAATAGACCAAGGATATGGCAGTTGGGACTGAAGATTCTAGTTTATTTAGAAGTAAAATGGATACAGGTTCTAAATTGGACATGGAGCACGAAGAAGAGGAAGGGTTAAGCATGATTCTGTGCATTTGGTTGAGCAGCCCGTTGGATAGTGATGTCATTTTCTAAACAAGAAAATGCTACTGAGGACTAGGCCTGAGAGGAAAGACCGTGTAATAAGTCTTGGAGACTTACTGAAGGAGTGTTGAGATAGCCAAGCCAAAGCAGTTGGAGCTGAGGAAAGGCACAACCTGGAGATGCGTATTTGAATAGCATTAATGAAGGCTGCTAATGAAGGCTGTGGACATGGACAACTTTGAGAGAAAGCTGTGAGAGAAAAAAAGTGAAAGCCTTAAGGAACTGCAACAGCTAATGGTTACACACACACACACACACACACACACACACACACACACACACAGCAGATAAACTTGACTAAAAAGGCACAACCAGAAAGGGAGGAAAGACATCAACAGAGTCTGGGTCATTTCACTTTCAACTCCCAAACTTTCCATGAAGAAACTTTTTCTCTTTTGAGTAAGCCAAATAGAAAATGAACGTTCTCTCCTCCAAGCTCCTGGAAAACTCAATGAACTGCTAGAATGTTTGGTATAAACCTGGTATGCTACCTCTCACGGCCCTAATTAAACATACAAATCAACCTTTCTCCTCTATCCTATCGTTAGCATCCACTTTGAAATTTTGAGTTGCAAGGGTTCTCATCCACACAGGTTTTGACTTCTATAGTGTGGAGGGTAGAACTTGTTAAATAAATAGTTTCTATACTACACGTTTTATTAACTTCATTGCTAAGGTAAATACATCCATGCCCTCTTTCCATTAGCTGGGCCTGACTAAAAAGCTTCTGCAAAGCGCATACTCGACCATGCGATGCCATGTTCTCCCACTGCTTCAATATGAACTCTCCGATGCTTCCAGCAGCTTTCCCATTTGTTAAGGTCTTATTTACTCTTTGGTTTGTGTGTTGAGAGTGAAGAGTAAATTTAACTGCCAGAGATTTGTTTGGGTAGTCAGTACAGTCTGTCACCAGTTCACGGAAGAGAATACTTTGTCTGTGGCAGGTGGGATATGGATGGGATGGGGTCAATTCTGTAATTCTGAGTTACTATTCCTATTTTTATGAACAATTTTACTTGACAAACCAGAGTTAAAATTGTCAAAAACACATTTATGACAGTGTTCACTGGTGCCATGAGCCTCTGTACCTTAGTTTTTGGAATGCCAAGATATCAGTTCAAATCACTGTTAAAAAAAAAAATCAATCATTCAGATATTTTGTCACCTAACCAATATGATGTGATTTAAACTAAATTAAACGACAAAACTTCTAAATTGTCATTCTTTCACATTGTTATTTTAAGCTCACCACGTTGCCTTCCTCAATCTTAGTGTTTTTAGAAGTAGATGGGAAAATGTTGACTGGGTTTCTATAAGGTCAGGGAGTATTTAAAATCAGAAGCAATACATAACACAGTTCTCTATAATTTCAAAGTTTCCCATTTTTTCCAACTGTGTATAAATTCTTAAAAATCTGTGAGAGACAAATCCCTTTCCATAATTGCATGTCATCTGTAAATGAGGTTCATAATTATAGTGGATAAAATATTATATTGATTTATCAGTGTTAAAAAGATACCATAAAGGAAAGGAGGCAACCAACTTCCTATGTTGGCCCCACCAACAATACTGACATGCCAAATAATGATTTCAACAACTGAGTCATTATAAAAGAAAACATCAAAATATGCCTTGCCAACATTTGAGGGACATAAGCGAGCCAAACGTCCCATGAGGAAAAACAATCAAAAGCCACGTTTGTACATCCCTTTGTATAAATTCTATGACACAGCTGTGAAAAAGAACAACCTCTTACCCTTTGAGACAGCATGGAGGGACCTGGAGAGTATAATGCTAAGTGAAATAAGCCAGTCAGAGAAAGACAAGTGTCACAAGATTTCACTCATATGTGGAATTGAGTGAACAAAATAAACTGATGAACAAAATAGATCCAGAGACATAGAAGCATGGAACAGACTGAGGAATCTCAGAGGGAAGGCAAGGATAGGGGGTCGGTGGGGAGAGTAACTGGGAAACTTACATGCATATATGCATAACCCATGGACACAGACAATGGTGTGGTGAAGGCCTGGGAGGGGCAGGTGTGGGGTAGAGGGAATTGATGGGGGGAAAGAGGGTGCATCTGTAATACTTTCAACAATAAAGATAAATTTTTAAAAAAGAAAGTGACTGTGAAATAAATAAATGAATAAAGTAAATTCTATGACATATCTGTGGTTAATAGGCAAATCCCCCCTAAAGATATAACTTAAGTGGTAATTGTCTCACCAAAAGTAAGTATATAAATAGGTGATGGTAATAGGCCTGGTAAATGTCTGTTGTTCATTGTTATTCACTGTTATTCACTGTTATTCATTGTTATTCACTGTTATTCATTGCCACTTTTGTGTGACTTTTAAT